GGCCCTGCAGCAGTGGTATCGTGAGGGCAGGACAAGTACACATACTCCAGCAACTGATGGCCACTGCACTCCTGGAGGAATGGCATTTGTTGGGGTACTTTTAAAAGAACATTGTCTATAATTCTAACTACAATTTTGCATCCAACTCCAAAGTGTGTGTGTTTTTCCCCACTAAGCAATTCTCCAACACCAGCTGGGTGTCCTACATTCTAACTGAATTCTGACAGTATCTACTTGGAGAGAGCATCAGATCCCGCAGATTAAAGGCCCAGTTCCCTAAGACTGCTCCCCACCCCCAAATCCAGAAACCAATCACACATTCAGGATGTTACCTGTGCTCCTGACCAATCAGAGGTTCCAGTGACCCCCTCCTAATTTGCTAGAGCAGCTCACAGAACCCAGAGAAACTAGATTACCAGTTAATCATAAGAGGATGTAACTCAGGAACAGCCAGATGGAAGAGAAGCACAGGACAAAGCGTTGAGAAGGGGCAGGGGGCTTCCATGCCCTCTCCAAGTGAGCCACCCTCCCCAGATCTCCTTTCACATGTTCGTCAACCCAGAAGTCCTCAGAACCTTGTTATTCCAGGTTTTTATGGAGGCTTCCTCAAAGAGGCGTGATTGATTGGCCATTGATGACTGAGTCTTCAGCCCATTTCCCTGGATGGGAGATGGGAGGTGAGGCCTGAAAATTCCAACCCTCTGATTGCTGGGTTGGCTCCACTGGCATCTTTAGGGACTTTCCAAAAGTCACCTTATAACAAGACACCTCTACTGCTCCCTGCACAGGAAGTTCCAAGAATTTTAGGACCTCTGTTCCATGAACCGGGACGAAGACCAAATATATATTTCAAGTTATAAATCACAATATTACACTATCTTATAAGAAGGGTACACCTAAATCCTCTCATTGCAGGTAATATAGGAACAATGTTCTGGACTTCTTCCTCCATCTGAGGTGCCAACTGCCACGATAGGGTCTTCCCCAACACAGGCTAAAATAGAAAGCATCGATCCTGCAGTAGATTCCAAGGGGAAAACCTCATCAAAAACCTGAGTATCTTTTGGTTGAAAAATGCATGCAGACAATGGAGTGGCAGATCCAGGACAGAGGAAAAGAAGAGGAGAAAATAGTGAGGTTGAGAGTGAGAAGGTGACACTTGAGAATCAGCTTCTTAATAGGGTTTCTGCACACAGCCTTTAATGTACGGCCCTGTACACAAAGGCTGGGAGTCCCTCACACAGAGGGGGACAGGAATGGGATGAGCGCCGGCCATAAGGCAGACTAAGCAACATCTGAGGGAGGTTGCTGGTGGACTGAGGCTCAGACAGTAGAGCAGGGAAGATGAAAATGAGAGACAGGAACTGACATTAGCTGAGCACCTACTATGAGGAACAAGGCTGAACTAGAAAGAAGAAAGGAAATACTTTAAATGACAGGCTGGGGAGAGGTCATTCCAGCAGGTGACTGCTGTACCCTTATCTTCATCATCCTTATTAGCAATCACTAAGGGCACCATCGGCCATGCCCTGGGGCTGGGATTGCCATCATGGGTTCAGTCTACTCAGGGAGGTCAGAGCCAAAGAAATGACAAGTAAGCTAGTTGCATATACCGAAGAAAGAGTAGGACACCAACCAGAAAATGTCAGGGACCAGGGAAGGGACTGCAGTGCCCTGCGCTAGATGAAGTTCCCAGGGAGAAATGGTGGATATGAGTGGAGAGGGACAAACTGGCATAGACAAGGGACAGCAAAGAGAACACAGGTGGCATGCTCAAGGGACTGTGACCAACAGTTTATTATTCTTTTTCTATCACTTTGTATTTTGGATCCCTTTCACATACATCACCCTAGGAAATGACTCTGCTGTCCTTCACAAACCCCGCTAAACCCTGGAACAGATGGCCTTCTGTTCCAGGGAGTTCAATGGAATTAAATGAATTCTTACTATGGGCAAATCATTGTTAAGTATTGCAGGGTATATAGAAAAGTGTAAAATATAGTCCCTGCCCTCAAGGACAAAAAGGATTTCCCTTCTGTCAAAAGGCCAGGGAAGGAGATACCGGGACGACTCTGCAGCTGTGAAGTCTTATGTCTGACAAAAGGCAGCAGGCTCTGGGCGGCATGGACAAGCCCAGAGAAAATTGGATTTACCATCCATCAAGATGCTCTATTTGGGGGTGGTCCAAAAGGTTATTCTGGTGACTGCAGTTTCCTTCTCAGAATTGGTTACCGAGCTCGAGTCAGTCTGTCCTTCACATTCTTCCCACTATATTACTCCACAAACACAGAAGCCCGTCTGCAGCCAAACATCAGTTCAGAATCAAAAGCCAAAGTCACTGTAGATGTACCTATAACTCATCCACCGCCGGGCCACTGAATAACATCCCAATCAATGAGCAGTCCTGGACTCCGCAATTAATCCTGGAGAGGAAGAGGCATCAGGACAAGAACAAAAGAACCAAAATAAGACAGTGCATCTGTGTAACTTCTAAATTAGTCAACCGCGGGCAAAGGGAGGTCTGGAACTTTTTACTCTGCCCAAAGGTCACAAAGCAACCTTACCCTGGCCCTCTAAGTGCCAGTGCTGGCTGAGTGAGAGAAAGCACAGTTGAGCATCACCTGAGATAAACGGAAATGCAATCTTACCTCGGGATCCTCAGTCTGATGACGTGGCTACTACCATGATGGAGCAGTCCATGGAAGAGTCTCAGGAACTTTCCAAGTTGGGTGGGCAGCGTCACCAGATACATAACAAAATTGGCAGAAGCCTGTCAGTCACTTCTCAAAAAGCGGGTGACAGGAATATTAAGCAATGAACTAGCTATATGGGTCAGCCAGAGGGCCTGTGAAGTGAAGATTCTGAGTGGTCAGCACTCACAGAGGCGTATGTGACCTCCTGCTTCCTCAGATGACTGAAGGTCAAACATGGTGAGAAGGAGCTCTCTGGAGCCTTGAGGTTCTGTACTCTGAATTTTTAGTTGAAAAACCTCTTTTCAAGACAAAAACACACCAGAGGACATTTGGAAGTATTTCCAAGAACAACTTCACATACCCTGACTTTGTAACAGAGGGAGTTGCAAACCTCACTTCAAGACAGTGGAGGCAGAATCCTTGCCGCAGGCAAAGTCTAGAGGAAGGGACTTGTACATTGTGGATCAAAGCGGAGTCTTCACATCAATCGAGTCTCCCACTTACACCACCCCCTTATAAAAAAAAAAAGGAAAGAAACAGCCAGTACACAATCTTAAGACTCTTTATTTAAGAGAAGGATCTCTGAGTCAAGCTGCTGTATAATCGAGCCAGAAAATCTACTGACTCTTGACAGTCCTGACTGACAGCCTTTAGTCTTGGATGTTAAATGAAATGTTTGTCTTGATGTTGTTTTTGAACCAAGGAGTCCATAAGTCCACTTTCATGTTTAATTCAGAAAATGCCATTTCATGAAACATCAGGCTCTGAAGTGAAGAAGTGGGCACAATCCTCCTTGCATTAAAACCCCCAAGGCAAGCATAAGATGCTGCCCAGATAAACAGTGGTAACGTGCCCCTGAGGAGGATGTCACACAAGGAATCTGGGTGTTGAGAAAGCGGATGATTCACCCTAGAACTTTTTAAAGAACTTTTCGGGCAACTGAATGATGTTTTTAAACATACTGGGTTGCTAAACCTGTCAGGAGAAACATCTGGATCTGAGAAAATCTGGCAAAGCTATCTGAATGAACACCAACTGTTCTCTATCCTAAATGTTAAGATTATTTTTAAAGGTTAACTTATAGATATTTGGACAACAGGGGAAAAACTGTCTGGTGGGCAGAGAGTTGGACAAGGGAAAACAGAGGAGAGGACAGATAGGCTGTGGATATTCTATGTATTAACACACCCTTAATAACAGGTCTAACTCTGCCCACAGAATACAGGCCATCCTAGGGTTGATGGGCTGACAAGCTGCTGCCAGGACGTTTCAGATTCCCCAGTCACACAGTCTCAAGGTAACTCTGGAAACAGAGTTCTCTCCAAAAGCTTTCAGCATTTTCATGGTCTCTCTTTTACCCATCATTAAGCCAGTTACGAGCATTTCTGAGCATTCAGGGTTTCCCAAGATACTGCAATGAAATAGTGATATCCCTAGGTCAGCAATGGTACTGCAATGAAATAGTGATATCCCTAGGTCAGCAATGGTTCTGAAAAAAGCATCTCTTATAGCACAGGACTTGACTGGGGAACTAAGAACTCTGAGCTGTATTTCCAACTCTTTCTCTGGCCTCCTGCTCACTGCTCTCTTCACTACCCACTACGTCTCTGAGACCTCAAGAGGTGGTGCTGGAAGACAGGAAATGCAGGCTAGCACCAGCCAGGCTGGTGTCTGTGGGCCACTGCAAACTGACTTCAAGTTAACTACCAGCTACTCCCCACACACTCGGCAGACAATTATCAAGCGCTGCTCCTGGCCAGGCCCCATGCCCTCAATTACTTTCCAAGTTTCTCCCACCCTCAGAGATTAGGTTGGAAATCATTTTTCTCTGCTCTTTCTTAATTCCTGCAGTATGTAAGCCTACATGACTGAATGAGAGTTGGGAATATTAAAGACATTTATAAATTATAATAAAGGAGTCACATATATTACAAATGAGAGTCTGTTATTTAAAAAGCCACAAATTATCTCATTTAGAGAAGTCACTTAACAAAATATACATCTTAAAACTTTGGCAGTCAAGAATGTTTTTTATAATTGCTTCCATTTGAGAAACACAATTAAAATGGGTTAAGAATTAATAGACACAACTTCACTCAGAATATGTAAGAAGTGTCACATGTTTTTCTGATATTCCTCTTTGTGGTTAGCTAACCACGCACAGGAGGAACCAAAGTCCAAACGTTCACATCCCGAAGTGGCAGCGCTCTCAGGGGGCTTCTTCCCTCAGTAAGTGACAAATGGCGGGGGGAGGAAGCATTACCAAGATGCACACAATCCAGTTCCTTACCCAGTCTTCTAGCATCATCAACTGTCAAACCATTTGCTCCGCTTTGCAAGAGGAGCTCCTTTAGAAGGTCCCAATAATTTCTGCTTATATTGTTCCACCAGCTGGTTGAAGCGAACTTCCGTCTTATTTCCTTTAGCTTTTCTTCTAGGTACCTACAAATGAAAGGAAAGGAAACATAAGATAATGAGTTTCAAGCATTAAGCATTACCTTACCCTCAGGCCAGCCAAGGGAGAGAGTTAGGTTCAGAGATCTTGTCCACCACATGAGGGACTTCTAGGGAGTAATCCCAAAACGACTGTCCATCAGTGAGAAAACAGACCAGGAATGCCTAAGAGAAGGGCCCCACTAAAACACCGCTCCCACTCCAACTCCCAAATGCTCACACAGATCTCCTCAAGGATGAGTCAGCCTCGAGTCCAGATGGTCTCGCTTGCCCTTTCCTTCACCAAGGATTACAGGGCTTCAAAGAGACCTCCATAAGATAGTCAGCTGGGTCAGAGGCTGCCCAGAGACACAGATTTCTTGAGTAGGATGAGAAGGCAAATGCATCTTGTACACTTAAAATAAAGGGACCAGGCAAGGAAAAAAGAAAATTTGACCTCAAGTGATCAAGAATGTCTGAGCGCCACTTTCTACTAAAACGAGCCAGGGCCCCTTGGAAGCTAACGCCAGGACTGATAAAGTGACAGGTAAGTGGGGACATCCCGGTTTAGAAGCAAGGACACCAGCATAGGCAAGGCTATGTTGGGACTCAGGATCAACCAGAAGCACTTCTGCTGGCCTCAGGCGGGACAGAACAGCGACTGCGTCTGGCCGAAACACGTCAAGTACACAGAAACTCGGGAATTCCCAATGCTACAAAACCTTACTTTCTCAGACAGGGCTGGTAGGGCAACAACTCATTACTCTGGGAACTGAGAAAAAGAAAAAAAAAAACGCAAGCAATTACCTTGCTTTTCCTACACAAATGGTATTCCATGGTAACCAAACAGTTGATAAGGGAAGGCTCTTTTTTCTAGAATTTTACTTAAAAAACACATAAGGGTTGATAAAATTAAGAAATTACCATTCTGCAACTCGTACTGAATACAGATCTAAATAAACAGCAATCATCAATGGATGCTGAGACTTTACAAATGGAGGGGTGAAGCAGACAATTTCTAAGGCTACTGATGAATCAGAGCATCACTAAAAATGGGGGAACCAAGGGAGGAAGAATGGGGCGATGGGGCAGTTAGGGAGTGTGGACTGACACGCACACGTTGTAGTATTGTTTAAAATGGATAACCAACAAGGTCCTACTGCATTGCACAGGGAACTCCGCTCAATGTTATGTGGCAGCCTGGATCCATGTATACAATGGATACATGTATATGTAGGGCCGAGACCCTTTGCTGTCCACCTAAAACTATCACAACAGTGTTAATCGGCTATAATCCAATATAAAATAAAAAGTAAAAAAAAAAAAAATGAGGCAACCAGACACTATGCACCTTATGGTACAATACAACAGAAAGCACACAGCATCACCTATGAAATACTCTCACCAAGAAAACTGAACCTAAATCCAATCAAGGCTCTGGATCTAATGTCTTGTAAGCAACATGGGGTATTACAGGAACAAGTTAAATGATAGCAACAAGGAAGAAAGCAGCTAAATTTAAAAGGTAATATATTCTAAAAGGCCAAGGACCTGGCTGATCCAGCAAATTAATGGCATGGAAGAAAGGGCATAGTAAGGAAGACTGGATATTATAGGGGTAAAAAGATTTAAGAGATTTAAAAACCAAGTACAGGCAATTCCCTGGTGGTCCAGCGGTCAGGACTGGACACTTTCACTGCTGCGGCACCGCTTCAATCCCTGGCTGAGGAAGTAAGATCCCAGTTTTTTGTTTGGAACCCGATTTATACGAGCCAACTTAAAAATATGTATTTCTGAGGTAACTGGGAATGTTTTAATGTGGGCCATATATTAGCTAGTAAGGGTTTCTTATTAATTTCATTAGATGTGATGATGGTATAACATATGTCTGTGTACATGTGTGTTTAAAGTGAAAGCAAGTGTTAGTCGCTCAGTCGTGTCCCGATCTTTGTGACCCCATGGACTGCAGCCTGCCAGGCTTCTGCTGTTTGTGGGGTTCTCCAGGCAAGAAGACTGGAGTGGATAGCCATCCCCTTCTCCAGGGGGATCTTCCCAACCCAGGGATCAAACCCGGGTCTCCCACCCTGCAGGCAGATTCTTTACTATCTGAGCCACCATATGTGTTTAAGGCCTGATCAGCTGGAGATGAATCCTGAGATATTTTTCTGTGAATATACCTCACTTCTACATGGGGTACATCTACAAGTGAGGTAGAGTTCACTGTAACACACTCACAGGATGGGGTGGGGGGTGTGTAGGTAAAACAAGATAATTGTTGAAGCAGAGTGACAAATACATGGGGTTCATTGTATTCTTCTCCCTACTTTTAGGACTGTATACCTCCACATCTGCAGCCCTGTACATAACTGAAATCTAGAAGAAGCCTTTTCCTTTGCTTAACTAATCAAGGCTCAAGTGGCTGCCGACCCTGACAGAGCTGTGCTATACCAAAGCCTCAGGGCCTACAGAACTTACCTGCTTGGAAGATAATTTCTGCTTCTCTTGTTTCTGGTGGTTTGTCTGGGGCTTTGGCTTCTTGGGAGGGAGAGGCTTCATTTTGCCTTTGTCCCGCAACCTGAAACAACATGGTCAAGTGTCACCCTGAGTTCTTCCTCTAATTGGCACTCCTGAGGTTTTCTCAGCCCAAAAGATAAAATGTCTCTTCTTATACTGGCTCTTTCTAAGCCCCTGAGAAATCAAGGGATACTGCAACAAAATGTCCTAGGGCTCAACATTTGTATACTTGTCTTTTGCTTTGGCTTAAAAACCTCAAGGGACTTTCAAAAACCATTGTTTACTTAACAAAAATTTCGTAAAGATTGATTTTTGTTGACAGCATTAATCTGTTGTTCCAGACAGAAACCTCAAGTAGGTGGGCCTCAGAGACAGCCATCAAGACAAGAGGAAGCGCTTCAGAGGAGAAAAACAGCATGAGAGCCCATCCTGGAAGGCTCTGCTGAGGCGCCCAAGGCCAGTCCTGTTCTGGCCTCCATTTGGTCCAAGAGTGACTCTGCCGGCACAGAGATACTGCTTTCAGGACTGGCGCAACCAGCATCCATTTTATCCACACAAAAGCCTCAAAGAGGAAAAATGGTGAAGTAAGACAAACCCTCTGAGAAGCCATCCCACTTCTCACCTGATTTTGGGGCCTCGGTGTGAAGGGAGCGCCAGGACCTTTCTTCTCTTCTTCCCATCAGGCAGTTCCACGTGCTCCACTTTGGCCTGGGTCTGGAACCCTGCCCACGAGACAGAGCCCGCCGGCCCCTTCCGCTGCACGGAGACCTGGCCTTGCTCCTGCATGTGGTTCTGAGCTGCTTTCTGTTGCTGCTTTTTCCCAGGCTCTGGCGGTACCTGCTGGGGCTCACCAGTTCCAGGCTTGGATTTCACTTTTTGCTGCAGAAGACGAGAGAATGCTACTTGGTTACTAGGTGAGATTTACTCGCTGGAAACACTCAGCAGAAGAGGACTGAGTTTGGTGAGAGAACGGGAATTCTTCCCCCAAATAGTTAGACTTTAAGAAAGTGAACACAAATAGTTCACAGGCCCTGACAGCGTAACAGAGGGATACTGGGTAGGGGACACAAAACAACCATGCAGAAATGAGGGGATAGTGTAGGTACACCCTAAACTCAAAAGCCAGCAGAAAACAAATAAGAAAGGCCCAGCAGCATGGGGCAAAGGTGTAATGGGAATGAGAAGAAATACCTGAAGTAATGAGAGTTGAAGATTTTCAAACTTAACAACAGACACTAAACCACAGATTCAGGAAGCTCAGACAAACACCAAACAGGATCAAAAAAAAAAAAAAAAATGTACATCTATCATATCAAATTGCAAGAAATCAAGGAGAAAAATCTTTCCCCAGAGGTGGGGAAAACTCGTTACCCACAGAGGAACAAAGTTAAGATTACACTGGATTTCCCTTCAGAAACCATGTAAGCAAGAAGAAAACAGAATACAGTGTTTAAAGTATGTGTGTGGGGCAGGGGAATCACCAACCTAGAGTTCAGTATCCATGTAATTATCCTTCAAAAGTGAAGGAAAAACAAAACTTTCCCAGACAAACAAAAATTAAAGAAATCTGGGGATTCCCTGGGGCCCAGTAGTTAGAACTTGATGCTCTCACCGCCAGGGCCCTAGGTTGATTCCTGATCAGGGAACTAGGATCCTGCAAGCCACTTGGTGAGGCACCTACCCACCTCCAAAAAAAAGTAAGGAAATTTATCACTGGTAGACCTGCATCACAAGAAATACTAAATGAATTTATTAAGAGAGATAAAATGATAGGTTAGAAACTCAAATTCACATTAAAAAAAAGGAAGAACCTTAGAGAAAAAAATAAATGAAATGAAGATAAGGAAAAGACATTGAGAAGGAGGACATAAAGTATGTTGCATATTTACTTTGCACAAGTGGGGGAAGACAAAGAAGATTCATGTGAAATCAATGCAGTAATAAGAATGTTATTCTGTCCTTTTCACCTCAGAAATCTAAATAGGCATAGTGGGAGAACAAAGATCTATTATTTTAATTTATGCCTCTTATGAGCCAGTCTCTAAGTGGTAAGTGTACAGATGAAAGAATGAAGGGTCTACTTTTTTAGGACTCGCAGCCCAGTGGAGAAAAGAGATATAAACCAAGTATAAAACTAAAAAAGAGTCTAAGGAAGTTCATGAAAGCACAAATAATAAAGTCTGATCTCTTTTGAGAGAGGTGGGGAAATGCTACTTGGGGAATATGAGTATGGAAACTGAGTAGATGTATCCCTGAGTCAGGGGAAAGGGGCACAGAAAGATGGGTATGTACATAAGTGCAGATAACAAATAAGGCCACCTGAATTTTTTTTTAAAGCCAGAAGTTACAGAATCACCTCTGATTGAGGTATTAAATAATTCTATAACTACAATAACAAAGCTGCCTTGAATAATAAGCAGAACCCAGGTTTTTTCAACCAAGGGTCATGGGATGAATCACTGAAACTGCTCTTCTATGGGTCAAGCTCATGATATACACCATAAAGACCCAGAACACAGCAAATGTTTGGTATACATGCAAGTTAAGGTACAATATGGATGAGATCTGTAAGAGTTATGGTATCAAGAATAACCTGGCCTTCTATGTCCTGTGGCATGATGGATAAGAGAATGAGTACTAATGTGTAGCCTGTGAGACAACTTACACGTGTTAAATGCAGATGATATTACACCTATTTTTATAAACTAGAAGCTGAAGCTGAGAGGGGTCGTAACTTGCCAAGGAACTCAGAAAGGGGCAGAGCCTGAGTTTGAACATGAGTCTTCCTGTTCCCAGAGTTTTCCTCTACATTACACTAGATTAGAAACAGTACTAGAACTACCAGGCATCACACTTCTGGAGTATACAAGATGAAAAAAGAGATAGCTGAAATCTACAGGTAATGTACAACTTAACCTTGGCTATTAATTTTGACATGTACCATCACCAAACACTGCAGTACAAGCACTGCTGACTGGTAACAGCATCGGGCTGGTTCTCCTGTCCCTTTCCTTCTGTGGAGCTATCAACGGCCCGGCCAGCAAAGAGTCGGCCTGCAGAGTTCTAGGAAACTAAGAGGAAAGGGTAACCAAGAACCTTGCAAGGCAGAGACCTAATTCAAGAGAACAGAACCACAACTGAACAAAACAAGAGTTTAAATATGGTCTGAAAAAAAATTGACTGTATGCTTAAAAACAGTAGAGTTTATGTGATGCATATATTACCACAATTAAAAAAACAAAGAGAAAAGAAAAAAATTTCAATTCTGTACCTGGCTGCGCTGGATCCTCAGTTCCTTGACTTTAAGTTTCCTTCGATCTTCCAAAGAGAACTCCACTATTGGTCTCTGCAGCAGGAGGAGACAGACTGTCATTCATTTGATTTCTTAATCTCTGCAGGCAATGAGCTGAGATGCTCGCCACCCCCGCCCCCACTACCCTCTTGCTTGCAAGTCAGAGGGTGATGCTCACGTCCCTCTCCTTAAAGGCAAGGGGCCGGTTCTGCAAGCAGACTACCCAGTTTAGAGCTCCCTCCAATCATCTCGTCACCTGAATCACCGCTCACTTCTCCAAGGCCTTGCCACTCTTACCCACCACACAAGTGTCAGAGGGCTTCCCATAAACGGCCCCCAGAGGACACATTCCCCTCACAGGACAAGGCTCACTTTCTGAGGCCCGAAGATCTCCGGATTGTTGTTGATGCGGCGTAGGGCTGCCAGGGCATGCTCGTGCTCCTGGAACTCTGCAAAGGCGTAGCCCAAGGACTGACCCTTAATTTTCCCATAAGCGCCTTTCAGGTCTCGCATCACCCGACACTACCAGTAGAGTGAGGAAAAGAATCAGTAGTTAGAGGATAAAGATCTTTAACAGCTTCAACAAGAAATCAGGTTATTGAAACAGTCTTCATCTATATCACCATCACAAGAGTTTTACTGGAGTAACACTTATGAATGTCTGTTTTATTAGAATATACCTACTGAGAGCACAGCACACATTAAATAGGTATTTTATTGCTTTTTAAGGGTTTACAGACATCTACACAGACCTCCAGAGAAGGCAATGGCAACCCACTCCAGTAGTCTTGGCTGGAAAATCCCATGGACGGAGGAGTCTGGTAGGCTGCAGTCCATGGGGTCGCTAAGAGTTGGACACGACTGAGCGACTTCACTTTCACCGTTCACTTTCATGCATTGGAGAAGGAAATGGCAACCCACTCCAGTGTTCTTGCCTGGAGAATCCCAGGGGCGGATGAGCCTGATGGGCTGCCGTCTATGGGGTCGCACAGAGTCAGACACGACTGATGCGACTTAGCAGCAGCAGCAGCACACAGACCTCCAAATAAGCAAGTAGATAAACTTCCCAAGGAAGAATTTTAACGGCTAACTGCTGACACGACAGCACATACAAGCAGAGAGGTACACGGTACTTGGGATTGTATAAATCAGCACCGAGCCTGAAGTGCTGTCTGCAAGTCTCCTAATGAAGAAACCACTCAGAAGAGATATTACTGAAGAAGGGAAGGATGAAGGCCTGATAGATAAGAAAGTTCAGGCATGAGGAAGACCCTGACCAACAAACAGCCTCAGAAATACAGGGAGAAGCTTCAGTTGTATTTGCTCAGAGCTCAGATCTCTTCTGGCATGATTTTCTCCTAAAACTTTAAGCTGTACCAGGCATCTTGGGGCACTGAGGAATGGTAGGGTATTTTGGGAAAACTGATCATTTAAATTGTTTTACTCCCAGGAAGCTGTGGTTGTCAGGAAATGGAGAAGTCTAGGTATTGGGGACATGTGGATGCCGCATTTGGTATATGTCCAGTATCTACTGTGTGCCTAGAACGGTGCCATGTGCTGCAGGGAAATCGAGAAAAGCATATAGGCAGCCGGACACGCTGCACAGCCCTCCAGTCTCCTCAGCTGCCTCCCCCAGGCCCGGCCCAGGGCTTCGCCTCGATGCAGCATGGCACAGCACCCTAGACTTCAAGCTCAGAGCCAAAGTGGATGGTGAGACCATTCCAAAGGCCTCTAGTCCATTTTCTGGGAGCAGGTGATGACGGAGTCAGTGCACACCCGGCAGGACCATGGCTACTGAGCAACCTACATAAAAATGGCAGCTTTTGCCAATTTGAGAATTTACCCGCCTGGATCTGGATTTATTCTGGACCTTCAGAGTTATGACTGATGCCCAAGGCAAAGAAGCTGACAGTCTTTTGACCAAAGTAGAAGAATGAAAGAACTGAGTCAGGACAGTACTGAGCAGGTGAAGTGATTACCACCCATAGCCAGAGGAGGGGCCATCAAGAGATACTGGCCCACCGCGGACGGCAGACTGGTTGAAAACAGCATCAATGAAATGGTATGTGATGAAGATGCACCTCAGGGAAACATTAAAACTCTACACTCAAAACAATGTGGAAATATCTTCAGTGGGGATGCTACTAAATATTCCATCTCTCGGCACGACTGGTAGGTTGCTTTTATTTTTGAGATGACCATTTACATTGTATTAACCTGTGGCTCATCTGGCAAGTTTTGTAACAGAGCCACAGAAACTGCATCTTGATACTCTTTTTTTCCTTAGTTTTCTTAGTGATTAAGAAATTTGGATTGTATTTCAAAAGAAATATAACTGATTTTTCTTGCTTTTTAAAACTTTTATTGAAGTATAGTTGATTTACCATGTTGTTAGCTTTCAGTGTATAGTAAAATGATTAGGTATTCATTTAAAATAAGAAAAGCATAAAATGAGGCTCTTATCTCCAAAAACCTTACTATCTTAGCTAAAACATTATACTTACACGTACAAAAGATTTAAAGAGAAAATTCAATATAATGCAAATCCTGTTAAACACACATACATGTCTCTAAGCGATGACAGGTGTTAGATATGCAGACTCTTACTAAGTACTGCCGATGCTGATGAGAAATTACACAACTGACTCCTATGACAGTAACTCTTTGAATGGTTTTACCAAGAGTGGCGTCAGCTATGTTCACATTCTCTCCTATAATTCTCCGAATGGCAATATCATATGTTTTGAAGAGGATTTCCAGGAGTAGGAAAATAGTGTACGGTGATGAATCAGAGCAAAGCAGATTCGTCATACTGGCTATGCTACTTATTCAATAAACACTGATCAAGAGATGACTATGTGCCAGGTACTACGCCAACCACTGGGAACAATGAGATGACACCTGCTCTCAGAGAGCTCAGTGCGGCTGGGAGAAATGACTGACCAACAATCACAGGACAGTGTGGTAATAAATGCCACAGCAGGAGTGCGGGGGTGCCGTGGGGGCAGGACAGAGGTTTCTGTAGTCACCCAGAGCCTGAGGAAGTCCTGGTGTGAATCCAGAGTTTGTCTAACACAGCTGCTGAAGACCCGAGTGATTCCCCGTGCTCACCACAGGGTGCTGAGAACTTCCTACAGCGCAAGAGCCTAAATGGCAGTGAAATGCTCCTCTAAAGAGCAGAGGACATGGATTATTTTCTCTGCAAGAAAACTAACATTACAGCACCTGGTATAATGCTGAGAATGCAGCGGGTGTCCAATGCTTGCTAAATTAAGTCATGAGCACAGATATTTCTGCACATTCTGCTGCAACTTGGTCAGATGTGAAAAACAGTTCTTAGAAGAGGGAAAAAAGTTTTTTAAACCCCCACAAACCATGAAAATCACCAAACTTAGTCTTGTCTGCTGACAACGAGCCCAAAAGAAAATCTGTCAATCTACTAGCACGATAAGCGTGCATGCTCAGTCACGTCCATTGTGTCCGACTCTTTGCGACGCCCTGGACTACAGCCCGCCAAGCTCCCCCGCCCATGGGATATCCCAGGCAAGAATGAGAGTGGGTTGCCATGTCCTCCTCCAGGGGATCTTCCTGATCCAGGGATTGAACCTGCGTCTCCCATGTCTCCTGCAATGCAGGTGGATTCTTTATTGCTGAGCCACCAGGGCAACCCACTAGCACCACAGCCTGAACTAAACATGCGCTCTGACCCAGGATGAGCGCCAAAGTCCTGAGTGGGAAGGGCCAACTCTCACCTCCTTGATGCGCACCGCCTTCTCCCCTCTGGTGGCATTCAGCAGCAGCTTTCTGAGCTGCTTGTCATCCACGGCCTTTGGGAGATTGTGCAGGCACAGCCTGGTCCGGGAGACAAAGATATTTTGGTCCTTGAGTTTCTGATGCTTCAGCAGCTCGAACTGAAAGAACAACAAATTGTTAACAGTACAATCCACCCTTTAAAGATACAGGCACATAATTCTCCAACAGGAAAGAACCATGACCCCAAACTAGTAACCATACATCTAGAAAAAATATGGGAAATCACCCACGCTGCAGCCTTTTTTTTTTTTTTCCTTTTCATTTATTTTTATTAGTTGGAGGCTAATTACTTTACATCATTGCAGTGGGTTTTGTCATACATCGAAATGAATTAGCCATGGATTTACATGTATTCCCCATCCCGGTCCCCCCTCCCACCTCCCTCTCGACCCGATCCCTCTGGGTCTTCCCAGTGCACCAGGCCCGAGCACTTGTCTCATGCACCCAACCTGGGCTGGTGATCTGTTTCACCCTAGATAATATACGTGTTTCGATGCTGTTCTCTTGAAACATCCCACCCTCGCCTTCTCCCAGAGTCCACAAGTCTGTTCTATACATTGGAGTCTCTTTTTCTGTTTTGCATATAGGGTTATCGTTACCATCTTTCTAAATTCCATATATATGTGTTAGTATACTGTAATGGTCTTTATCTTTCTGGCTTACTTCGCTCTGTATAATGGGCTCCAGTTTCATCCATCTCATTAGAACTGATTCAAATGAATTCTTTTTAATGGCTGAGTAATATTCCATGGTGTATATGTACCACAGCTTCCTCATCCATTCGTCTGCTGATGGGCATCTAGGTTGCTTCCATGTCCTGGCTATTATAAACAGTGCTGCGATGAACATTGGGGTGCACGTGTCTCTTTCAGATCTGGTTTCCTCGGTGTGTATGCCCAGAAGTGGGATTGCTGGGTCATATGGCAGTTCTATTTCCAGCTTTTTAAGAAATCTCCACACTGTTTTCCATAGTGGCTGTACTAATTTGCATTCCCACCAACAGTGTAAGAGGGTTCCCTTTTCTCCACACCCTCTCCAGCATTTATTGCTTATAGACTTTTGGATAGCAGCCATCCTGACTGGTGTGTAATGGTACCTCATTGTGGTTTTGATTTGCATTTCTCTGATAATGAGTGATGGTGAGCATCTTTTCATGTGTTTGTTAGCCATCTGTATGTCTTCCTTGGAGAAATGTCTGTTTAGTTCTTTGGCCCATTTTTTGATTGGGTCATTTATTTTTCTGGAGTTGAGCTGGAGGAGTTGCTTGTATATTTTTGAGATTAATCCTTTGTCTGTTGCTTCGTTTGCTATTATTTTCTCCCAATCTGAGGGCTGTCTTTTCACCTTGCTTATAGTTTCCTTTGTTGTGCAAAAGCTTTTAAGTTTCATTAGATCCCATTTGTTTATTTTTGCTTTTATTTCTAAAATTCTGGGATGTGGGTCATAGAGGATCCTGCTGTGATTTATGTCGGAGAGTGTTTTGCCTATGTTCTCCTCTAGGAGTTTTATAGTTTCTGGTCTTACATTTAGATCTTTAATCCATTTTGAGTTTATTTTTGTGTATGGTGTTAGAAAGTGTTCTAGTTTCATTCTTTTACAGGTGGTTGACCAGTTTTCCCAGCACCACTTGTTAAAGAGGTTGTCTTTTTTCCATTGTATACCCTACGCTGCAGCCTTTTGATGATGCCCAGCACACAGGGAAAGAAAGGTTCGAGGAGGCAAGAAGGTGGGTGGGTGATAAGATCATGGGCTCTGCAGTCGGGCTGAATTCGAGAAGTTACGTAACACTTTTTAAGCCTCAATAATTTCACCTACAGGGTAGAATTGCAGATCAAAATATAATACCGATTTTTCAGTACTGATGTGAGGCTGAAATAAGGCAATATGCATAAAATCCCAAGCTCAAATCTGGCCCAGAGCAAATAATAAATAATACTGTAGTTAACATCTATGCCAAGTCCTTACCTATCCACCAATTCAAACATTATTTAGTCCTTCCAAAAGGAAATGGATATACTTAAAGAATACACGACAGAATACTGTCTTGTCTCAACTCTGCCACCTTGAGGCAAAGAAACGTCAATAGAAACAGTTTCCAGAGCCTCACCTATGTTGCACAAAGCACTGGCCCCAGGACAACCTATCTCTAAAGTGAAAGGGTGACCTTCTTCTCCTGACTTGTTTCTTAAAAGCAGCTCAGTAGAAAAAAGTTTTTGTTTTTTTTTAAGGTTTTTATATATCTTGATTTTTATTGACATATAGTTGATAGAAAAAAGTTTTAAGTTAAACTTTTATCAAGTTTCATTTTTGCCACTTCTTATTTGGTAAAGGTACTATTAGAGCAACTCACAAAATAAATACCCTGGAAACAAATATTAAAAAGGCTATTTGAAGGGTTATCATACTTAAATTCAACAGTGTAATTTTTCTCCCAGGAAAAGCTGTGTCCGCTGTTTGACTAACTATAATGCATATAATCGAGTGAGCCTTTTGCTAGGAAAATTCACCTTAAGGAGAATTAAATGTGTCACTATAGCATTGTGATCAGGAAAAGGCATCCAATGCCCCCCACATACCATGATCTCCAGATGTTCACTACCAAAAACTGTCGAGGACACTAGTCTAGGACCTGCACACAGAAAAGACATGCTGCCTCCGGCTGTCACTATATTCTCATCTCTGTCCATCAGCTTTTGCACTTCCAGGTTCCAGAGCTAATGCTATTAATGATCATGCATCTTTACCCTTCCAGGCTGGCTTAGCTTTGTGAAAGTAAGCAACATGGGCAAAAGTAAAAATTATTGGAACAAAGATTGCCAAGCAGCAAAGGAACTCAACAGTATCAGTTATCACTAGAAATCTCATAATATGGGGTTTTCCTAAAATGATTTCATAATCTGGAGGTACCGCCCTCCCTCCACCAAAATACATCTTATCTCTCCCTTCCAAGACTCACATCCACACTTCCCTCCCTGTTTACTCTAGCCCACAATGACCTTCCTTTCTCATGTTATTCTGCATTTATACTGCCACCTAATTATATATATAGCCTGAGCCTCTAAGTGTCTATTTCATGATCTAGAAGCATACTATCTGGCAAACACAGACTGTTGGGCATTACGAAAACAAAGAATAAGACCCAGTACATATGCTGACAAGATATTATGTGTAACGTCGGGTTAGTGGCTGTTCCACCCGTACACCTGCTTTCTAACAGTAGTGTAAGTAGCACCTGTGACCGATACTTGCTTGGCTCTCTGATGAGCACCTTTAGTAGTATTATTTATCGATTTATATTAAGGCCTGCAGAACTTGAAGGTGGTGCCTAATATACTCACTCGTTCTCTCTTGGCCATATCTGCAGCACTCACACCCTCTGCAGCCTTCGTCCCAGCACGAATCACTGCAGAAAGAGGGAAAAAGGCCAAGACATCAGCAAGGGAATTTTCACTGAGCAATAAGAGGAATGTGATGTGAATGATGCAAGCTCTCTGAAGAGGGCCCAGAGGACTATGCTGGCCAGGACACAGTGGTATCTGGGTAGGTCCAGAAATAGGCTACAGGGCTAAGTTCTTGTCTATGAGCTGCTCTCAAGGACTAAAACTCTGAACATTTTGTGATTTTGTTCCTCTTCTTCCTTCCCTTCAAAAAATTTCATGCTGTGCCCAAAGTCAGATGGGAAGGCCTAAAGGAAGTTCTGGAAATAAGTACATTTTAGGCATTTGGAATGCCAATATGCTCTACCGATGACCTGTCCTTGGAAATCTCCCTGCTCATGTATTTGGGAGCCATTGCTAAGTGGCGAGGTAGTCCAACCAAGAAAACAGCCACACTGTTAACATAGGGCCCAGTCTCAAAGGTTAAAGGCCTCCCATTTGCTAGTTTGGGCGGTAAGGTGCAGCAGGTGGCAATACTGTGTGACCCAAAGGAAGGAATTCTCTCTTTTGTCTTAATTAAAGCTAATTTCTGATTATCTTTCTGACACTAAGGGAAAGGTACTCAGTGCATATTTAAAATCCATGAGTAGTCCAAAAGAGTAATTTTAGTCATAATTTTTAACTCCTTCAGAAAACCCATCAGAAATTATGACAAGGGACAAAGGTAATTTGGGTTTTTCCTCCCTCTTTGCCCTGATAATCTTCTGATGAAGAGGTCTAAAGGCAGTCAGTCAGTCAGAAAGGAGAAAAGGGACTGGCTACTCCATGAACTGGGTGAAGGCTTTCTAACAGAAAGCTATATCTGCTAAAGTGGAATAATAGTAATATACCACTGTTAAAGAGGATGCAGGATTTTTAATTTGAAACATGCTCCAAACATACTACTGCCGGGTCGCTCTCATGGCAAGTGGCCAGCTACTCCAAATCCTGGTTCCCCTCTCCCTGCCACTACTCACAGCCTTCTCGGGCCAGGTAGAGGTTACGGGTCCCAGTTGGCTTCTTCACCTTCTTTGTCCGGAGTTTTGCAGCCTCATCACGGGTCACTGCCAAGTCAACCTTAAGCTGCCGGCCATCCAGTTTAAGTCCACCACCCTGAAACAGATTGAGACCTCTCTCTTAAAATTCATGATGAGTAGAAACTTAAGCACCTGAGAAGGAGCACCAAGGAAAGGGAAAACAGCAAACCCCCATTGTTGTGTGGACCCCTGCCGCTAGGATGTTTTAGGCCAGCCACATGCAAGTGGATCACTGAGCCGAACAGTATTTAGCACAGCTGTTCAAAGGCCACATGTTCATTTGTTTTCAGGGAGTTGATTAGTCCCAAAGTCGGACCAAATTAAGAAAAATGATCTGTAAATAGGCAAATTTTTAGTATGCTAAAGAAAGCTAATGAAATGGTAGTTATAACTCTACTCATGAGAATTTAAGAGACAATAGCAATATACGATAACTTAGCTCAAAACAATTTATACTTGGTTATAGAATATACAGAAAAATTCTCTATCACCTACACACTTTCTCTCTCAAACATTTACTCCACTTCATAGATGGCCTTAATCACTTCTTGTCCCAGTCTTTCACGCCATCAGCCTAGAATAGAGACTGATATACAGAAACTGATCCATAATATAGATTATTATACCTGCTTCCTCACCTATAAAGGATAATGATATGATTACTTACCTTACAAACAACTATAGGGCTGATGTGAGGATTAAACAAGGTCATGCGTGGAAAGCTCAGTGCCTAACACACACTGTGCTATACTTAGTCGCTCAGTCATGTCCAATTCTTTGTGACCCCATGGACAGTAGCCCACCAGGCTCCTCTGTCCATGGGACTCTCCAGGCAAGAATACTGGACTGGGTTGCCATGCCCTCCTCCAGGGGCTTTTCCCTACCCAGGGATCAAACCCAGGTTTCCCACATTGTAGGCAGATTCTTTACCATCTGAGACACCAGGGAAGTCCTAACACACGTTATATGTTCAATAAGTCTTAGCTTTATTATTTTTATATCATTGACAATAATAATAATAAAGTTTTGTGGAAATATCAGCTGTTGCCCCTGGGAGCTACTATCACCTAAGTTACAGAGAAAAGGAAATGTCTTCCTTACCTCGGCCTCTGGAAAAGCAGCTTCAAGGCATTTCTGGGCTGCTTCTTGAGTCATGAACTGGGCAAACGCACAGCCTGCACAGAGAGACAAAACTAAGTGAGATCCCAAACTCCCATGGCCCACCTGGAAGCCAAAGACAACACTATGCATGGCGGCAGCCTGACATGAAGTAGAAGGGGCAGTAGCATCCTTTTGTTAAGTACAATGAAACTTAACTAAAAAGCACTGTGTCCAGCACCAGGGGTTCAAGACCGGCAAGACAGCACACCTGCTCATAATGAAATTTTATTATTACTTCCTTCATCTTTTCTAATGCTTCTTAGAAACTTTAGTCGCACTATCTCATGCAATGAGAAACAGCCACAAGAAATACTAGAGAAATTCCAGCCTAATTTTTCAGTATCACTTTCTACGTGCCTGTTAGAGAACTAAAAAAAAAAAAGCAGCAGCAGCAGCAACCACTTAAGCCTGAAACTACAGATCTGTCATCAGAATCACTTAGGAGGCATCAGATGAGGGCAGGTCCAGTTCCTGGAGTAAAAGTCCCTGGCCTCTATCCCATGAATATACTGGTGAACTGGAAAGTCATGAGCTCGACTTTTGACTCCTGCTATAGAATTTCCACAGTCATACCTTTCACTGGTTAGAGGCAGGGCCTATCAACTATCCAAATCTTTTGCTTTTGATAAAAAGCAGCTTTTATAAGGAAAAAAAAAAGTTCATTTTACAATAAACTCAAAAAAAAAATTAAGTTCCATAATACTTTGTTAGCATTCCTATAAACCTTAATTCTTCCCTCACAGAGGAAGGCAGTGCCACATTTCCTAGAGCTAATGAGGCACAGACCTTTTGCCCCTCTAAGAATGAATGGCAGCCGATTAACTGCAAAGACACACGTGCAGGCCAACCCAAAGGCCTCATCTATGAGGTCTTTCCTGCCTCCTGCAGGCAGAGCTAAGTACCCCCACATCCCTCCCCTGCCCCGCACTCTACCCCAGCCATCCTCCACTCCATTTCTATTATGAATGTCAGGGAGCATCTTCCCCAAAAGACTTGAACGTCTCAGGAAGAAAGCCCATGTTTCTTGGCTGTTTCTACATCCAAAGCACCTACCATAACATCCACCATTAGTAGATACTCAATAGGAAGCAACAAGTAATACTGAAAGAAGTTTAATATGAAGAAAATAAGGTGGGTTCTTCTCTCTGAATGGGTAAGAATGTTATCGTGGGAATTTCCAGGGTAACTACTACTAAAATTTCCAGTTTTAACACTTCCCTAAAAATCTTCAGATAATACTTAGCCCTTCCAGGCAGTAAAATAGCAGCTGACAGGGATGAGGGGTAGGAGGTGGCCAAGGCTGTGTGAGTAGGCAGAAAAAGTGCCAGGAAAATCTAATATGAGCTAGGGAAAGACAATGTATCATGGGAAAAAAAACACAAAACTATGCTTATTAAAACCATTAACTCTCAGCTAACATTAACAGACCAAGAAAGAGATTGAGCAATTCAACCAGACTCCATTCTAAAAACGTCAACTCGACACATTAGGGCACTCAGAAACAGATAAAAGAGATGATCAGAGTCAAGCAGTATCGGACAGTACTGCAACATTCTATGCAATTCTAGTTGCCCATTTTCAGAAAAATAAAAATGGAGAAGGTCCAAGAAGTATAATTGAGTATCAGAGCTAAAGGCACCTTAAATGATTACTATAGTTGAACCCATTCATTTTACAGATAAGGAAAGAAAGCCCACAGTGGTTAAATGGGTGCCAAAAAATCACCCAGCTGGTGATTTAGCTGGGGTTAGACCCCTAACCTCCAGAAGGCAGTTTAGTCTTTTTCCCATTATACTACCTAATTTTACATCTTCTATAGCTATATAAAAACTAAAAATGATTAGGTTTCATCAAACCAGAAAAAAAGAAGATTTAGAATGGAGGTAATTAATCCACAGATAGGCTCCAGAGAGCTCCAAAACACTCAGAAATGGCATTTTTATGAGGATAGAGTTCAGAGTTCTTGCTAGATCTCAAAGGGATCAAGGACCAGAATGAATTAAAAAGTCACTGCTTTAGCAGAACAACTGCACTTGATAAAATCAAAGATTATGAATGGGTTGAAAAGATGCTATCTAACAACAGTATATCAGAATGAGGAGTGGTCAACCTTTAAGCTCAAAAGAAATAGCTTAGGGGGGAAAAAAAAACAGCACCACCAAGGCAGCACTTCTGCTTTTCCTTTTGACTGTTGGCATTGCAACAAAGTTTCCATCAGCTTCCCTCACTAACAAAAGCAACAGAAAAATATCTCAGTAATTTCAAGCGCTGTGGAATGATTAATACCCATGAGATGCTATCACATTTGAAATTCAAAGAACAACAAATGGAATTCATTACCCTAAAGTAAATAAGCAAGAGCTTAAAAAGCTTAGACAAAATTATGGCTGGCAGCACCATGACAGATGCTGAGCTTGACATCACTGGAAGACAACCTCAGAATGTCCTTGGAGCTTCTACGGATCACAGAAACCTGGATGAAGGTGGACGCCTCAGAGTGGCACACATTATGCTCTCATGTAAGCTAGTCAGTGCCCATAGTGGTCTCAATCCTTTTGGGCCTGACCAGATGACAGCAAATACCTTTAGAATGTTCTGTGTCTGGATGCAAGACGATACGGACATATTTAAGATCTCCAAATTGCTGCAGGAGCTCCCCAAGGTCTTCTTCCTCTGAGTCGAAGGACAGGTTTCTACGGAGGACAATCAGGTCACAAGAAAGGTCAGTTACAAAAGTGAGACCCTGTGATCCAGTACAAGGTGAGTGAGTCAGACATCATCTGAAGTGGTTCCTGGGAACTACCCTCCCCAAGGATAGCAACAAGGGGTGACCCCCACTAGCCAGGCCACCGATGTATGACTGTGCCCATCGGCCGTAACCGACTGACCCTCCTCTGTTAGTCAGATTCTCTCTCCCAGGAATATGAAACTTGAACACACATATACAAAGACCAGAAGTTGTAGATACAGATTCACCTCAAAACAGCAGTGTGGGGAGCTGAAAATGTTCTGTAACATATATATGTATCTCCACATATAAAGGTATATGTATATCTGTGGCTATATATATGAAAAATGTCACTGGATTGTACACACACTTTACAGAATACATGTTATACCTTACAAGGGATAAAACAAGAATGAATGTCTTCAGAGAAAGGATCATGCAGTCTTCCACAACAAAGGTCCCTTCTTGAGGTTTGCTCTTTGACAACTCTGATTCTGTGAGCTGCCCTAATGTTCATCCAACAAACCAGGTTTTTCACTTAAATTGGCCAACATTAGTTTTCCTTACAACCAAAAGACTGACAGCAAATGAGAAGTCAAACGTCTCTCAATGTCTCCTCTGTACTCCTATGAAATCTAGGTTTCAGTTAAAATTTCACAAAAGTCAGAAAATCCTTCAAAATAGTAACTCAAAACCAAACATGGTAAAGTTTATTAGCTATGTCCAAAAAAAAATAGAGAGAGAGAGAAAGAAAACTACTATTTCCCTTGATGGGATTAAAAAATGTTGGAAGGAGATTTTGTTCAACTAAATTTCAACACAGTGTAACGATTCCTAACCAAGTTATACACAGCCTTCCAGGGGCAAGAAAAAGAATTCCAAATAAATATCTATAATTTTACTTCTCTTTTGCTCAACTAACAGCTCCATAAACAGTTTTATCTTATTAAGCAACCAAGATAAAAAAGATTTTCTGCAATAAGACACATCCTAGCTACATTATTGCTTCTAATTTGCCTCATCGTGTTCATAGCCTTCTCTCTTCCATCCCTTTACTTACCTAAGTTCTCTTTAAATTAAAAAGATGTGTAAAGAAGGGAATCTTTGGTACTGAGGTCACAGGCTTCTAAGTGTGATATTCCTCATTCCTATTACACAGAATCCTCTACAAACATGAAATTATTTATATGGAAATTCCAAATAACACAGTAAAAAAAAAAAAAGGAGAGACGTGCTATAAAGGAAGAAAATGGGCTACAGCACAGCATGTATAAGCTGAAATCATCCTTGTTAAGTATTTATGATATGAACACATGCGTGGGTATTCCTTGAGTAGTGATGAAAGTTAATTTTGTGTGTATGTCTTTTTGCCTATTCATTTCCTAAATTTCCCACAATAAACGTAAATTACTTGCATAATGAAAACCATCTTTAGAAGACTGTACAAGAGAATAAAACAGAAATCTCTAAAATAAGACCCATATAGCCCTAGCAAAATGGTACTTAAGAAAGGAAGAAAAGGCCATTGAGGTGTGCCAAGGACATCCCGACTTCCTGAAAATGCCAATCTACAGTAGTCAGTACAATGGAAACAGCAAAGGCAACATGATACAGTATCCCCCTCTCTCGGTTTTCCAGGAAACAGATGGGATGCTTCACTTTATGGACGTGACTTTAGATCAGTCAGACATGAGGAGAGAATTAACTTGGGACAAGAGGTATAATCCCTCCCCTGCACTCACCCTAAAACAAAGACCAGAAGCAAGATGCTTCTATTAATAACAGTTGAAGAATTCATTTGTTCCAATGACGCCACCCCAATTACAAAGAATGAAATCTAACAAGGACAAGATACAGACCCCTGCTGTTTATCTCCTGTGTATAGTTGATTCTCCTACACTTTTCTCATTGTGTGCTACATTCCTAGGCAGATGTGCTGATAGTCTTACATGCATCTAACTTTTTGGCCTAGCTAAGAGAATTAGTGGAAAAAAAAAAGAAGAAGAAAGGAAGGGAGGGAGGAAGAAGAGAAGAAAAACTTAGAAGGCAACAGAAACAGCAGTTCTCTAGACAGAAAGTCATACCTGATAAAGACAGTCTTCCCTTCATTCACATCAGAAGGTAATTTCCTCTTCTTCTTCTTCTTCTTTGAGACTTCTATATCCAAAGTAAAAAGAAGCAACAAACTGAACTTAAGACTAGTGCAAGCCTTACAACAAAGAGCTAAGTTGTTAAATAAAAGATCTTACATAAATTAAGAAGAAATCCAATTAAAAATGAACAAAGGATACACAACTAAATATATGAAAATGCTCAAACTTACTCATAATTGAAGAAAGATATATCACTAGAAATGAGATACTATTTTTCACTGAAGATTGGCAAAAATCAAAAAAGATAGACAAAATCCATTGTGGTAAGGGTGTGAGGGGAAAAGAGACAGAGAGAGATTCCCATACACTGTCTGACGGTAAACCTTCTAGAAATGTAAAATGTAGAACATCCAAAAAGAAAAAAAAATACATTCACATAGACAAATAAACATTATACTTTATACCAGTGCATATACATTCATGTTTTAGCTTACAGAAGTATTATATTAACTATCCTCAGATACACAAGAAACACTGGTTGTCTGGTGATTTAGTCACTAAGTTGTGTCCAACTCTTGTGACTCCATGGATTATAGCCCGTCAGGTTGTCTCTGGGGAAGGGCCTTAAGTGGCTGTAGATTTGGGCTTAAGGGAGATTCACTGATTTTAAGAACTGACATGTATGCTTATATATATGAAGAAAATTTCTGGAAGGATACAAAAGAAATAACAGAGGTTACTTTGGGGGACTACTGGGAGAATTGGTGAGGAACTTGTACTTTCTGTATTACACCCTTTTGCACCATACATATATTTTAAATTAATTTTCTCTCATTATTATCTATCAGTCATTTTTTCAAGTGAAAGAAGAGACAGCTGAATCTGGTTGTAGAACTGAGGTCTCTCAGTGTAAAAGCTTCTTTGCTTCTAAGGTGTCTACCATTCTCCCCTCACAGAAAAAGTTTATTTCCTCAGATTTCTCATATGGTCGAATCAACATGCCAGACTTAAAAAAAAGGGAGAAGGAAGACCTGATTAGTGAATAAAAACCTCGAAAGAAACTAAAGGATCACTTATTGACCACTCTTGATTCCGTAATGACCTGCCTCACTCAATAAATAAGTGGAGTTTAAACCCAACATTCTTGATGAAAGTAGTAATATGGTTTGGTTACAGTTTTACAAAATGCCCCAGAAGGTCCTTTATCCCCATTTCAATTCAAAATTGTTGTTTATACTCCACTACTGGCACAGAACAGTAACAGTGATAATATTGGTAGTCATTAGTAGTACAAATAATTTAATCTTCGCAACCCTATGTGGTTATTACAGCCATTTTATAGATGAAGAAACTGAGGTATAAAGAGGTTAAATAACTTGTCCCAAAGTCATACCTCAAGAAAGGAGCAAAGACAGGATTTGAAACTTGTTGCTAAACAAGCTACACCTGTGATCTCTAGGAATCATGGGGTTTTGTTTTCTTAATTCACTCCTGTTCACCCAGTATCCAGCACTGCAGGCATTCTGAATATCTATCTGCTGTCTGAATAAATCAAGGTGTGTATATCAGAAAAAATATCAACAACCTCAGATATGCACATGATACCACTCTAATGGCAGAAACAGAAGAGGAACTAAAGAGCCCTTGAAGAGGGTGAAAAGGAGAGTGGAAAAGCAGGCCTAAAACTCAACAGTCAAAAAACTAAGCTCATGGTGTCTGGTCCCATCACTTCATGCCAAACAGATGGGGAAAAAGTCGAATCAGTGACATATTTTATTTTCTTGGGTTCCAAAATCACTGCAGATGGTGAATGCAGCCATCAAGATGCTTGCTCCCTGGGAAAAAAGCTATGACAAATCTGGACAGCGTATTAAAAAGCAGTGACATCACTTTCCTGACAAAGGTCTATATAGTCAAAGCTATAGTTTTTCCAGTAGTCAGATGTATGGATGTGAGGAGTAGTAATGTTAGTCACTCAGTTGCGTCTGATTCTTTGTGACCCCACAGACTGTAGCTCGCCAGGCTCCTGTGTCCATGGAATTCTCCAAGCAAGAATACTGGAGTGGGTTGCCATTCCCTTCTCCAAAGAGTCTTCCCGACCCAGGGATCGAACCCGAGTCTCCTGCATTGCAAGCAGATTCTTTACCATCTGAGCTACAGAGAAATCAGTTGGACCATAAAGAAGGCTGAGCCCTGAAGAATTGATGCTTTTGAACTGTGGTGTTGGAGAACACTCTTGAGAGTTTCTTGGACTGCAAGGAGATCAAACCAGTCAATCCTAAAGGAGATCAGTCCCGAATATTCATTGGAAGGACTGATGCTTAAGCTCTAATACTTTGGCCACCTGATGCAAAGAACTGACCCTGGAAAAGAGCCTGATGCTGGGAAAGACTGAAGGCGGGAGGAGAAGGGGACGACAAAGGATGAGACAGTTGGATGGCATCACCAATGGACATGAATTTGAGCAAACTCTGGGAGATAGTGAAGGACAGAGAAGCCAGGAGTGCTGCAGTCCATGGGGTCGCAAAGGGGCAAACACAACTGAGCAACTGAACAACAGTTAAAAATGAAAAGGTACATTTTTCTATCCTGACAGGTTCAAAAATCACTGTCACATGCAGCATCTATTGCAATAGTTCAAAGAGCAATGGGCATTTATTTACACACAATGTGGAAGGGTATGCACAGAAATAACATTCATTCATCAGTTCCAAATTTGTTTATCTACATTAAAAAAAAAACTCTGCAAATGCAGAAGTGTTTGTTGGTCTTTGCTTGTTTTCTTGCCAATTCTTTGTGACTGAAAGTCATGGAGCCAGATCAAAAGTTCCAGGAGAACAAGGATTTTTTTTTTTTTTTCAGTTCAAAGTTTAACATTAGTAGGTGTTCAATAAGTGTTTCTTTTAAGTGAATGAAGAGGAGAGGGGACTTGTTTTGCTGAACTGAATGGAGTAGTAGAATGCCAAGATTACATTCTAGTTAGCAGAATTCAAAAACTGCCTCTACATCCATCCTAGTTACTGCTAAAGCCAGAAGATTCTATCAACAGCCATTTCACATCTAACTTGATGAGATTCACACATTTTTTAGAAAACTGTTGGAGGAGGAGGCCATAAAAAGAAGACAGCAGCAACAAAGTCAACTAATACCACTGAGTGTCTACTGTAGGGAAGGTACTCTTCTAAGTGTCAGGAGATGAGGACCTCTAATATCCAATCACAGACGAAGTAATGAGGACACTAGAGGCAAGGACTTGACCAGACCCATACAGCTGGAAATAGAAAAGTCAGGACTTGAACCCATGTGATTTGACTCCTAAGCCCATGCAATAAAAGGCAGAGATGACTGCTAAAAAGAACTGAGCTTTTCCAGATAAAAAATTCTGAATTCAGTAGTCTGTTGCTCTAATAATGGATTACTTTGTTAGTCTCCATCTTGGAAGGTGTCAGTGATTCAAGTACCTCTGATTCTGAGCAGCACATAATAAGCTGAGTTTCCGGGGTTTGCTAATGTTGTTGTTGTTGTTGTTGTTGTTTTAGTAACTGTGTTGTTTCTGACTCTTTTGCGACCCCAAGAGCCGCAGCCCGCCAGGCTCCTCTGTCCATGGGATTTCCCAGGCAAGGATACTGGAATGGGTTGCCATTTCCCTCTCCACTGCTAACACTGTAGACACTTCAAATAATATCTCTTAATCACTGAGGGAAAAAACACCCTCTTTGGGTTTTCAAATCTACTTCATATAATTTGTTGTTTACAGACAACAGGGATGGAAAAATGAGTTTGTCACATTTAACAGAATGTAATTTTAGTACAAAAACAAAATAATTAAATTTAATGAAAGAGGACCTACTTTGGTGGCAGGATCCAATATCCTGTTTATCCAGTTATTCATTCAACATGGATAATTCAGAGAGAAAAAGAGGCAAGACCTCAGCAGTAAACTAGGTTTTAAATTCCCTAAGAATTTTAATCCTCAAAACCACTCCAAACTCATTTAAAAAACAAAAATATCTTTAGAAGAAAGGAATATAAAGGTTTCACTTTCAGCATTTAAACACAAGTTTGACAGGACATCTTAAGGTCCTATTTAAAAAGAAGCCTGAGTGGAACTGATGCCCATTTCTCAGTAAACTATTTTAAATTTAAAGGTGTTTACAAAAAGTCCAGGCAAACCTTCCTCCTCTTGCTCTTCACTGCTGGTATCACTTTGAGCCAGGTCCTCTCCACCATCAATACTATCTCTTTCCTCCAGGTCGCTGTCGTCATCAGAATGCTCCTCGTCACTGCTTTCTACAGGTGCTGGCCTCTTGACTGCTCTGCAATGGCACAGATCAGAACTGAGGTTCTGGGCTGAGAGGGGGTCCTATCCAACTTCACCACTCATGCCAATTCTCCAATGTTGGGGCCAGGGAAAGATACCATCTTCCTCTTAGGGACAGTCCTAAATCTTCCTCTGTTGTCTCAGAACACACTGAGCCACTTACCTCTTGTGAATCTGTACAGGCTTGGGCAGCTTTGATTCTTTATCCTCCTCCTCCTCCTCGTCATCATCATAATCACTCTCATTCTCCTCCTCCTCCATATCCTCTTCTTCCCTGCCATTCTCTTGACCCAATTCCTGATGTTCAGGTTCAGGCCTCTTCTCACCTTCACAGTCAATAAAGAAAGTTAGGAATTCATCAAGTATCCAAAACAAAGTCATTTAAACAAGAGTACCTAACACCCCAAGTTACTGGTTCCTATGGTCTTACAGATGCTCATATATTTTTCTTATTCTACCCAACAGGAGAAAGTATGAGAAAAAAAAAAAAGGCAACAAAAACCCCTCATCCCTGAGGTTTCCTCGGAGGCTGTTCCATTCATCAGAAGCCTTAAGGTTAACGTGGCTCAGCAACTGAGCCTCTGCAAACAGCCCACCACTGTGTGCTAGGCCCGCACAGGGAACACTCTCGAGCCAGCCATGAGCTTTAACCTCTGTGAGTTCTGTTCTCTGAGCTCCTGGTGGCTTAAAAGCCAACTGTTTGCTAAATAAAACTCAAGTCTTAAGCTTCCCTATTTATAATGTTCCATCACTCCATATTATGAAAGCTGAGAAAGGACAGCAAGTAGTAGGGACAATGAACTTGGGCCCCACCACTCACATCCACATTGAGGAGTGAGCTTAGACTCAAAAGGTCCTGTTTGGGGACCAGATCACCAGATGGTACAATGCGGGCTGACACACAGTTGGGACACACAACCCCTCCTACTCAGCATCACTGCATCTTACCTGGGACAGAAGCAGACTGTGTGTTTTTATATTTATCCTTTGCCACGGCCCAATCCACAGCCACTGTCCGCCCTGTAAGGCACAAAAGTAGCATCAGAAAGGCGTGCTTCTCTTTAACATTCCTATTTCCTAACAACTCCCTAGTCATCAAAGACAGTAATGGAACCAAAGGAGGCAGGTAAACTGCAGATTCAGAGCCTGTTGGTCCTAAAACAAAACTCCTGGTAGGTGTCTATTCTTTCAACCCTTAACCTTTTTTAACAGAAGTTTTGTGTTTCTACAGTCACTACACTTGGGATAAGATAGACTTAAAAAAATAAAGCATTAGAACAGTGCTTCCAGTTAGATCAAGTTTCCAGTTATATTAACAAGAGGGAAAACAGACATTCTGGAATAAACTTCACGTTACTCAGAAGTTAGGAAGTCTTCAAGCCAATCCCTTCTTTAGGCATAGTACCTGGTAAATCAATACCCAGAGTAACCTCAAGGTGAGTTTAGGAGCCCACATATGCTGAATAGGGATCATAATCAAGAGGGAAGAATGTGCTAATCCCACATCCCCTAGACAGCAATCTGCCTGTTTATCAATGATTATTTCAGTGATGGTTTTTCATTAAGAGATTTAAAGGACACTCATCACCAAAAAACGAAAAAGAGAAGGCTGGCAAGGGTCCTGTCGAGTTTAACCCCAAGATCAAGTCCTAGAAACAGCTAACTAAAGCAGCTTGTATATTAGCAGTGAGACTCTCAACAAGGCAAACACCTTTCAGAAATGTAGAAAGTGGGTTACTGCATTAACCTGCATGAACACCAGAAATATCTGAGTCAATGGTATGGGCACAGAAAACTTACCTTTTATCTCTTTCATGTTCATGCCTTTGAGAGCCTTTCCTGCTTCCAGGAGGTTTTTAAACTGAACAAAAGCAAAACCACGCATCTTTCCATCTGTGTGCAAACATAACAAAGACATTAGAGGTAGCAGGAGGGACCAACAGACACTAAGAAGGACTATACAGCAACCTGGACTGGCGAGAAGGCTCAAACCCTGCCAGCCAGTCAGCCCCTTGCCCAAAGCAAGAGCCTTTATCCTGCTAACATTAGCCTGACACAGGCTCGGGAGAGCAATGCATTAAACTCATCTTCTAAAAGGAGTTCTGATCTAATTAAAAACACCATCTGGGGAATAAACATTGTTCTGTGTCAGGCACTATACTTTATATATATCATATCATCTGGGGCTTGGAGAGTATGACCCGAACCTTATATTTCTATTTCAAATAGTGCTTAGTTGAAAGGTGACATGGAAAAACACCATTATGTAAAATAATCTAATCCACACAAAATAAAGGTTGGCAGGTACCTGGTTTCCTGGGGATGTTTACTTCCAGGATAGTTCCAAACTGAGAAAATACTGTCTTCAAGTCATCTTCTGAGCACTGAAGCGGAAAGTGAGAAAGAAAGAGATGTTATCATGACAAATAAATATAAAACATCAACTATTAAATTAGTTCACTGGGAAGAGTTTGAGTATTTTTACTCCTTTTAAAATCTTGAGACTAGGACATCAAACATTCCCAAACAGAGGACATCTTGCTTTGTACCTAAAAGGTAAAAAGGACAGACATGAGAGAGTTTGTCCTCCTCTCCCAATCTCAGCAGTAATTTCCACAAAAGGAAGACATCTTCATGCTTTCTGTCCTCAATAAATTCTTGTTTATATAGGCCCATTTTCTGAATTCAACGCTGCTAAAGTTCATTCCCAGGAAGAATGAAGCCCAATTATACCACCCCGGTGGGGAGTTCAACCAACAAGCAGGCCTTGGCTCCAAGAGCCTTCAGAACACTCACTGTTAGTTTTCTCTCTCTTACCTTAAAGCTCAGGTTTCGAATAATTAATCTGGCTTTCTTATCGGCCACTTTGGCTTTTTTAGGCTTCAGCTCCTTTTCTGGGGACTCTGAATTTTCTGAAAAATAACAGGCAACGAAGTAAGTATGTGATCCTCTCAGCCCAGAATATCACAGAAAAGAAGTACTAGCAACAGAAAGCATTTATCACAGCATTTATCAAAGCATTGCTGGGCAATGCCCAGCAATACCAGGTTTTCCAAACTCATAAGTAAGCAAAAGACTAAAATGAGTAACAAAACACACTGGATGACTGTGGACATCAAAAGAAGATTCAGGAAGCTTTTAAGTCTAGATGCTACCCCCAGCCAATCCACAGTCTCCTCAATCCTGGGGGAAAACTCCTTTCAGTTACTAGAAACTCACCAGTTTTCCCCTTTTCCTTGGACTTATTTCTCAGTTTTTTCTTGGCAATGGTCACGTTGATCTTGCAGCCTTCAAAGGTAGTAATCTCCTTGAGGGCCCTCTGAACATCCTCCAACATAGAAAAAGTGACATAGCCGAAGCCTCGACATGCCTTACTCCCTGGAACAGTATGGAGGGGAAGGATTAACAGTAAGCCAAGATCTCTAAACCAGTAAACTCTCACAGCCCGAAACTGGCAGATATACAACCAGGCCAGCCAGTTATCAGTCGGCCAAAGTTCTCAAGAGGGAAAGAGACAAGATTAACATGAGAGGCCCCCCCAATCTCCTTTTTCCTCAGAAATTGTTAGGCTTCCTCTTCTAATGTGCTGTCTTGGCTGTTAGCTCCCTTTCTTCCATCTTTCCTGGTAATCTCAAGAATATGGAGGACTCATAATATGCATTACACCTCCAAAGAAGAACTCAACATCACACAGAACAAAACATCATCAGAGAAGGTAGGAAAAATAAGTATGGTAGCTTCAAAACCTACAATGAAATAATTCAGTTACCCCTCCTCAGAAGAGAGGACAGATCAGGAATGAATGTGGGGGGCCCTGAGAAAAGAACCTCAAACAATAAACACTGCTTCAGGAGCCTGCAGATACTATTACCGTTATTACCAAGCCTTAGAAATCAATATTAAATTAAACCTTTCCAAAGCAGCTGTAAACCTCTTATCTCATTTTGTCAGAACATACCAAGAAGGGAAAAGCCAATATTGCCATCATTTTTTTCCAAAGGAATCGTTGAAGATGAACAGTTGCAAATGTCAATTGTAACCCACCTTTGCCCCTTCTGGTATGCTTTTTTTTTTTTAGTTTAATATTTTTGTGTAGTAAAATTTTAAGTAATTTACTGCATCAAAGAAGAAAAAGACAGACCAAGCAGTCTGCCTACTACCCAAAAAAGAAACAAAACTCCACATGCTCTCCTTTACAACTATACCCTAACCTGCTTTAGCGTGCAAGCCTTCTAACACAGGACGCTGAGCCACACAAACTGGTTAAAGTTGACACCTGGCACTAGGAGAGCATACTATATTTCGTTATCCTTGAAACTCCTTCTCACAAAAGCCTGCCCACTCACCTTTCAGAAAACAAGAACAAGAAAAATCAGGGCCCTTCCTGATCAGTACAACCAAAAATAAAAAGCAGCTGAAACGTGAAGGAATTTGCTGACAAAATAAAAGCATGCGCTCACAAAAACACTGTTCATTATAAACAGTTACAACAATCCTGTGAAATTATTCCCATCTTAAAGAGGGTACGTGGCAAGTTCAAGTCACCACTACTGGTAAGACCTCATCCGCCACCCCCTCCCTCCCATCCTTGGAAGTAGAGTACTCAACACATTCAACTGTCTAGACAGAAAAGCACAGTTCTTTTGTTGTTGCTGTTTAAAGGGAATAGGAGCTTTTGTTAAAGATGCTGACTATGTACATAAGCTACAGGTAAGGTTACACGTAGCCTATATTCCGAGGACCCAAAGGAGAATTCCCATTCAAAGTCCTGCTCTTCCCTGGAACTCAATCAACCATTGTAGAGCAGTGTTTCTCAGACTGGTTTGACAAGCCACAGTAACAAATGTAATTTAGAGTGGACCCAGTTGTTCATATACTGGGGGAAAAAAAAAAAAGTCTTATGAAAACTTCTCCTTTACCCATATATAGATATACTACTTCATTAAAAAAAAACCACTCAAGACCCACAAACGGACAATGATCTGCCGTTTAAGAAACACTGCTGACCAGCACTCTCATTCGCCCATGTCTATACTTAAAATGATAAAGGCCCCAGCTGTGTGTATAGCAATCAGAGCCATGTCAATGATCTTAAATCTAATTTCTGTTACTAACAAAACAGAAGATAACGATGGAGTGATTATTAGCACACTGTTAGCCTGCCTACTCACACACTCTGGTACTATGGGGGAAAAGAGGGGTACCCAAGATATTACTTCAAACCAGTTGCTAGCCTGAAAGGCAAAAAGGTAGCCACCTACAGCGACAGACTGATGACGTGAAAGGAAGCTAAATTTGTGTTCTGGGCAACATCAGGTGCCATGTAGTATAGTCTAGGTAAGAAGAACAAATGCTTCTACAATTAAAACCCTTACAATTCTTACTCATTCTAATACATGCTAACCCTCCTTCATAGTGATGCCATGAATATCAAATAGAATGAGAGGCATATGGCAGTACCCCACAAGTCAGTAAATACTTCCCGTGGCTCAAGTCAAAATCAGTGGTTTCCTATCTCAGAGTAAAAGTCAAAGTCCTTTTGATGGCCTGTAAGGGTCCTACATGATCTGGAAGGACCAGGTGGCACCCGCTAATTCTCCTTCCTTCACTCAGAGCACTCCAGTAACCCTGGACTCGTTTATATTCCTCCAATATACTATACGCACTCCTCTTCAGTATCCTTGAGCTAACTCTGCCTAAGCTGTTCCTTGCACTGAGAAACACAAGTTCATTCTCTCACATCAGTAAGGTTTCCCCTGTCTATTCTTCACTCCTCTACAGCTTCCCCGCCACCACCACACACACCTACAGAGGCTCCCTATCTTTCTTCCCTGACTTATTTTTCTCCTCAATATTTTTCACCATCATCACTATAAATTTTGCTCACTGGCTGTCTTCCACATCCTGAAAACAGAGCAAGACTTTTGGTCTGTGCACTACTGTATCCCGAGGATCTACAACAGGTGCCTGGAACCTAGTAAACATTCAACTAACATTTACGGAATACATAAATGGGTTAATGAATAACATACTGGTTAAGAGCTCGGGGTCTGGTGGTCAAATTCTGAATCCACTGCTTACTAGCAGTACGAACTTAAGCAGAAGTTACTATATTTCCCTAAGCCCTAGATTTCTCATCTGTAAAATGGAGTTTACTCTCCACCCAAGACTGATGGGGAAATTAAAAGAGGTAACCGATGAAACTCAAGTACCGCACCTGACAATCAGCTGCTTCTCAGTGAGTCTTAGTGGTGTTTTATTGAGTTCAGTTCAGTCGCCTAGTCGTGTCTGACTCTTTGCAACCCCATGGATGCAGCACGCCAGGCCTCCCTCTCCATCACGCTGTCCATCCCATTTATTAAATTATTCAATAATAAATGAGATCTTATTTGTGAGCGCGCATAATAAACAGGAAGCCTACATAAACTTAAGTGGCTAACTTGACTTTCAGAAACAGTTCCTATGGATTTATCTAGAGTAGAGTCCGTTTGGAAAAGAAATTCAACTTCCAAGGCCTTTCATTTAAGAGCTCACTTAAGGCTGGGAGAATGTCCTCTGCCCCCATCCGGCTCCCAGGAAACCCAACTCTCTGTTCTCGATCGCCCCGCCCCCTACCTTTTTCAGTCACCACGAAGCACTGCTTGACCGGCCCCACCTGACTGAATAGCTCCTCCAGCTGCTCGCTGCGAGCCGAGGGCGGGAGGCGGCCCACAAACAGGGTCAGCCCGGCCATGAGGCCGAGAAGCAGGAACGCAACGTCGCGCACGCGAGTCAAGTAACTGGCTTTAGGCAGCGGACCACGCTTACTAAAGTTGCCGGGAGACTCCGGAATTGCGCATCACTCAAAAGAGTCCGGAGGAAAACGTAGTAGAAAGGGAAAAACCATTCCGGAAGGGAAGAAAAAAAATCGTGCAGCCTGAGGGCGGAGCTTCTTGAGCGGGGCTCCACCCCCTAACCCAAGTACCGCCCCCGCCTCTGTAGGGAAATTTGGCTTCGCTTAGTTTCTAGGCTTATTACAGTCTAACCTGCTGGGGATCGATACCAAACTCAGCAAGGCAGGCCGGAGAAGCTGTTTTTGCTCTGGGTCTAACCCAAGATCTGACATATAGTGGGTATTTAATAAATATTTTCTAAAGTGTCTGTGTCCCAGGATCCAGGAGCACCCAGATTAGGTCCATAAAACACAGCCATAATGCAAGTCAACACAAGTAATCACATATATCATTAGAAAAAAACTCCAGTTCTCAGAAAACATGAGATATCTGTCACATTTTAACAAATAACTGTATCTGTATCTTTAACACTTCGCTGACAAATTATAGCTATTAAGGTTCAAATAGGCACAGGTCATACATAATCATTCTTTCAAAAAATATTTACTGAGCTCCTACTATGTGCCAGGCACTAAAGATAAAATTGATGAGCTAAAAAAAAGACAGAGCTCCTGCCTTCATGGAGAATAGTCTTGTGGACATAGACAAACATCAGTACAAAAAAAATTTTGCAAGTAAATCAAAACCTGCACTATGCAAGATCACAAGAGAACACACCCAGAACAAGCAATACATCCAGCTAACACAGACCTAGAACCCAGGTCTTCCCAGAGACAGCTTTCCTCAGGTCAGCTTATTAGATGGGCCCAAGGATGTGTAATCTCATTGGCCAGGAGATCTGGGTGCTTCTGGATCCTGGAACACAGACAGTGTTTGCCATCCCATTGGGCTCAGGAACTGACCTGTGTGCAAGACTGCAGCACCCTGCAGAACATTTGTACAGAACTAAAGTACCCAATGAGATTTTTTAGTAATTACTTTTAAACGGTATAGCGGAACACAGGGCAGGTAGAACGTTCAAAAGTACAAAAGGTACAGTGAAAAGGGTTTCCCTTTCTCCTCAAACCCCATCTACTTTCCACACATTTTGGATTGGTGGATAACTGGTTGATAGCGATGGGGGGAAAGGGAAAATGTTTAACATTAGATTTATGAAACCCTAACTCCAAGTATTTTATGCTTGAAAGAAAATGCCACAGTTATTTTTAAACACATAACTCAGTGGAGGAAGTATTGAAATATGAAACAGATTTATAAGGGCATAGATGGGTTAATTCCATCCAGGATAAAGACAGACAAATAGACAAAGGAAAATTGACCCTTTGAATAAAGTGGGTTTGCAATTCCACATTTCTCCTTTATTTTCTCCTCCTCTCCTGCCCCCTCACCACCTTAGAAATCAAAATTTCATACCCAAAGTCTAAATTACCAGTGTCAGGGCCGTAGCCATGGGGACACCTTCCCAATCCTGGCTGCAGTGTGCACTAGGGAAAGAATCCTGAGAAGGCTGCTCCAGCTTCCCTTTGGGACACCCCCTACAGTGTTAAGTTGGAGATGCTTTGGACCCAAATCTTCCCTACAGAACAAAAAGAAACTGTGGTCCTGTGCCCATCAGAGGGCAGCAGCCACCCACAGTGCAGAGGAGTTCCTTGCCTCTAGAGAAGGAAAACAGTGCAGCTGACCCTTTGTACTCTTCCCAACTTTCAGACCTGGCTCCCCATCTCAGTCTCCCAGTCTCAGCCTCAGCCCCATCCTCTCCTATTCACTCATATCAGGAAGGCCATGCAGTTCTTCAATCAGGAATATTTGCTCATTCATCTTCCAGGACACATGCAGGGTTCTTTATTAAATAGCAGGAGTCGTGGTACCCTGCACCACATCAGCAATGTGGCTTCCAGGGGAAATAAACTGCTGGACTCTCTCTCATCCATCATTTGCAGGAGCCTGGAAAGGAAGTAGGAGAGGGCTGGGCTGTACTCAGCCAGCCTCTCCCAAGCTCCATCCTTTTGGCTCCATTCCCGCTTGAAAGCTAAACATTCTAATAATACTGCGTACTTCTCATTCTTAGCACTTTTCACCATTGTATTTAATTATTTGTGTTATTGGAATTACTTATATGATGTCCTCTTTAACATCTGCTTTCCCCCAAAGAGCTTCAGCTTCATAAGTTCAGGACTGTTGTCCACCGAGGTCCCCTTTTTACTCCCAGCATCTAGCGCATTGTAAGAACCCAATAAAATGTTTTAAAGAGATTGAATGAAAATGAGTTTGTCTCTCAGTCTCTGACAGCACTAAGAACTGGAACTGAGGGTGTATATATTACATCCTGGTCTACCCAGGCTCTTCTGGGAAACTGCTTTGGGTTAGGAAGGGCTGAGGCATGAGATAAAAGGGAAGGGTTGTCTCACCAAAGCCTCAGCCTCTTGATCAAGTCAAAGGGCTTAGGTGATTCTCACTGAGGAAAACCAAAGAAGTGATGGAGCTGATGGACACCAGGCTCTATTCCCCCACCCCACCCCCAACTCACCAGCCCCATTCTGAATGTCCAGACAGAAAAGGAGCCTGTGTGTATGTATGTGTGTTTGTGTGTGTGTGTGTGTGAGAGAGAGAGAGAGAGAGAGAGAGTGACTGGAGGTACGTGGGTCTTGGACTGCTTTGCTGGGAGGTGTGTGCCTGAACTCAAGGACCCATGGTGGGAAGAGTGAGTGAGAGCAGCTGGCAAGCATTACAATGAGGAGAGACAGCAGAGAGGAGTTGAGCGTGAGCAGAGGCAGATGGAGGTGTACGTGGGGAAGAAAGGAAACAATTTCTCAGAGCAGCAAGCACTCCTTCCATGACACAAAGCAGCTCTGAGGCTGGGGCCGCTACAGCCACTACGACACCAGTGAGAAATGCCTGTAATTAGGAGGATGGCAGTTCTCTGGGCCTCAGCCCAGAGTGACGATGCAGCAGGAATTTCTGAGCCAAGCTGAGCCAGGTGATGGAGGAGACACAGTCAGAACCACTTGGGTCCCATCCCTCAGCGGTGCCTGCCCTATCCTCCTCTCATTTTCTTCCCTACTGTGACCCTCACTTACTCCCCTTCTCCTTCTGAGGTTCCAAGCCCTGGACGCTCTTTTCAGTCAAGACAGAGCTTCAGGGGCGAGCTGAGCAGTGCTGTAATTCTTCCACTAGAGCATTAGACCTGGTCTGGTGAGCGCCCCACCCCCTCCCAGCCTGCTTCCCTCTTGGCTCCCTTGCTTCCCTGCTCAAATCCTCATGAGCTGATGGGCAGAGCTGGAAGAAAAACCATTCCTATTCCTGTTTTTCCACTTCAAGCCTAGAATGCGTGCCCCTGTGGGCCTCCCTATGGTGTGCAGGACATCTGCCAAAACACTGCCAGAATTTCGTTCTAAAATCTACAACTCTGTTTTAGTGCCACTCTGAACTTACTGCGTTTGAGCCAAATGACAAATGCACACAAATGCTCAGAGCCAAATGCCCTGGACAAGGGAGGGATTACAGAGTGCCTGGTGGCTGGATGTATTCATGGGTCTCTGCACTGTGAATTCTGCTTTGGTGGGTAGGATGGAGCTAGGGCTTGGGGAAGACAGGCTTTCCCCAGGGAGGCTCTGCACCTGTGGGAGATGAATGTTGTCCAGGAAGAGGGTTGTGAGTGCAGACTTGAAGAGGTCCTGTTGGTAGATGGAGCGAGCAATTTCTTCTGTGAATCCAAAAGGCCTCTGAATTCCTCTGGGTATGTGTCAGGGAGATTGCTGAGAATCCCAGCTCAAAGTGGTCATACTCTTGAGATGCGTATCAACATTTCCATGAAGGACTTTGCCACTAACTAGTCCCTAACCAGTTGTCCCCCAGGATATGAAGCCAGGTCCCTAGGAATACAGACATTTCCACCAACTACTGCAGAGTTTCTGCCTCACCTCTCAGGGCTGTGTTCCATCTCTGAAAAGCCACTTCCTGGGGAGTCAAAAGGATCTTCAAGGGGCCACTCCCAGGACCTTCTCATCCCAGTGGACCATGGAGCCATCTATGGGGAAAGGTCATGTGGAGGACAAGATTCGTTTCGGTCAGGAGTCACTAGGGTCTGAGATGGACCCACCCCACGCAAATGCTGCTTCTCTTCCTGTTCTCGCAGAACCACTGCTGCTGTTGCCTACCTAGGCTTTACCAAGAAGGTCAGACCTTTCTCCTCTGAAAATATTTTATTGATAAATTAACTCTGAAAGCGCTCTTCTCCCACCCAACTGCTGCAGAGTCTCCTAGATGGGCCATGGACCCTTCTACGGGGAAGGATCATGTGGAGGACATGGGAGTCTCACTCAGCAGGGATGGGATTCCTGGGCGTAGCTGAGGTGGGTCTGGGGACAGAGGTGGGTCCTGAGGTCTTCTAAGGACAGCCCCTCTCACTCAGCACCAGAGTGGGAAGTGGTGGTCTGGAGTGGAGCACCTTGGAGCTTTATTGCTGGTGAATGCCAAGGACAGTGGGACCCCTGCCAGCCTAGTATTGCAGCTGAGGGCATCAATGCCCCAGGGCTCCAGAGAAGGTGGATAGTTCCCCATCAACAGAGCCTGGCTGCTGACCCACCCATCCAGGGTTCTCCGGATGGGAAAGGAAGCCGGGAGAGGTATCTGAGCCAGGCAGGATTGAGGAAGGGTTACAGTGTGCAGGTCTCGGGTGGGGGGGTGGGGGGATGGGGGGCAGAACAGGCGCCAGAAGGGGGCGTGCGATCGGGGGTGGCTAGGGGGCCACCTCTTCACAGGTCTATGGTGTCGCTGCCCATGCTCAGCTCGTCAATCTGTCGGCAGGCGTCCAGGAATTGCTCCTGCAGCAAGGCCTCTTCGGCCTGCAGCTCAGGAGCAGGTTCTGGGGAGTCGCGGGAGGGTGGGGACAGGGCCTGGTAGGATCCTGAGGCCGGGAGGCTGGGGCTGCTTCCTGAGGGCCGCGGAGGGCTGAGGACGCAGACCAGCGGACAGCGCGGGGCCCTGTCCGGGCTGGAGCATAGGAGAACGGACGAGCTGTCCCGCGAGAGTCCGCACAGCGAGCCGGAGGAGGCGCTGCTGCCCGCGGGCCAGGTCCCAGGAGAGGGGACCTCGCGGGGTGCCGGGGAGCCAGGGGCCTCCCCAGACCTCCCAATGGGCCCGGCCCCGGTCTGAGCCCCCAGCGAGGCGGTGCGGTAGACGCCAAGGCTAGGCAGAGTTTCCCCGAAGGCCGGGACCTGGAAGAGGCCGGGCGCCAGCAGGGCTTCGCTGCAGAGGGCCTCCTCGATGCTGCGCCTCAGGTTGATGGGGGAGGGCGGGCGGAAGTCCACGGTGTCATCGCTGCAGGGAGACGAGGCCGGGGAAGGCGCCGGGTGGGCGGCCGCGCCATCGAAGCTCCGGCAGCCTCCTCCCTGGAGGAGGAGGTCGGGGCCCGGTCCGGCCAGGGCGCACAGCTGCAGCAGTTCCGCGTCGCCACGCGCGATGGAGCTCCCCAGCGGCTTCTTGTCCGGAGCCCCGGTGACCCAGCCTCCGGGCAGCAGCGGGGCGGCATGGCCCGGGGACAGGCGGAAGAGCTTGGCCCAGCAGCGCGGCGGCACGCGGGAACTGCAGAGCGCGGGGTAGAGGCCCAGCAGCGCCAACGGGAGCGCAACGCCCACCTCGCCTAGGCGCAGGCCGAGCTGGAAGGCCCACCAGGGCCAGGGCCCCTCCAGGCCAGGTTGGCCGCCGTAGCCCAGGGCGTGCAGCACCTCGTAGCCCTGCAGAGCTCCGCTCAGCAGCCCGAAGGTGCCGGCCACCGGGGCCGTGCGCGCCGCTCGCCTCCAGGACTCGCGCGGGCCGAAGGGGCTGCGCGCCTGCGGGAGAGGCGTGGCGCCCTTGAAGCCGGCCCCTCCCAGGGGCGCTCCGGCCCGCCGCCGCCGGCCCCCCCAGCAGGACAGCGCCAGCAGCAGCCCGGAAAGGAGGGCGGCGAGGAAGGCGTGCAGCCCGCGGGAGGCGAGCCGCAGAGCCCGCAGCGGGCGGTGGGCGGCGCTCCCGAGGGCGGCGGCGGCCGCCAGCCCCAGCCCCAGGAGCAGCAGCGCGGCCAGGCCGGCGGGGCAGCGCGGCGGGCGCGGCCGGGCCAGCAGCAGGCAGGCCAGGCCCAGGCCGGCGGCCAGGCAGGGCAGCGGGAGGTCCTGCAGCAGCAGCCAGGCCAGCGCCGGCAGCCGGTCGCGGTGCCCGTAGGCGTCGTAGAAGAGCGGGAAGGCCCGCGTGGTCCCGGCCGAGAGCAGGAGCATGTCCAGCAGCGCCAGGCAGGGGGCGCCGGGTGGGCAGCGCCAAGGAAGGAGGGCCAGCGCCAGCAGCGCCAGCAGGGCCACCAGGCCGAAGAGAGCGCCTACCCCGTACACGTGGGCCTCCCAGGCCAGACCCCAGCGAGCCTTGGCCTCTGCCCAGTCGGCCTCCAGGGTCAGGAAGAAGAGGGGCAGGGGGGCTGCAGGCTGCTGCCCCTCGCGTTCAGGCCGCTCTCTGATACTGCAGGACCCTGGCCCACACTCTGGCTGCACCGAAAGTTTCCCAAGGCTGGCAGGAGAGGGGTCGTCCAGGCCAGAGGTGGGGGTGGTGGACTCTGTGGGCAAAGAATGTTCGTCTGAGGCATTCGTGCAACCCTCCCCTTACCCACCATACAGCCAGTAGCCTGTATGCCAGTGGGAGTCCTCCTGACATCCAGGAAGGACTTGTCATAAATAGGAGATTCAGGGACCTGGCCACCCCTCCCATATCAAACTCTTACAGTTTCAGCTTTCATCCCCTCCCCTCATCCCATGCAGGCCCAGCTCCCAGCTTTGTTCAGTACACTGTGATTCCACTGAAAAGGGTTTTTCTTAAGAGGTCACAGAATTTTATAAGTGGAGGGAGCTATAGAAGAAGCCCCCTCTAACTGAACCCTCCTGCCAGGAAGGAGGGGTCATGAGAACAAGGATTTTTGTTTGCTTTGCTCACATCTGAATACTCCTCCCTAAAACGTCCTGGCACAGAGTTGGTGTTCAGCAGATACTCACTGAATACATGCCAGATGAAGATATTGAGGCTGCGCCTAGAGGCAAAGTGACTTGTCCAAAGTTACATATTAGCAGAGCTGCATCTAAAATCCAGATCTGAGCACCAGTTTGAGCCCCTCTTCTTGATGGCACAGCAAGTTCATAATACTACTTTGCTTATCTCTTGTTCTGCACCCCTGACCCCCATATCACACCTTGGTGCTGGAAGGCGCTTCTCCAGCCTTTTTTCAAAAGCTTCCCCCTTCTCCCAGTGTCTTCAGGGAAGGCCACCACGGGTACATGTGCACGTGCACACACAGCAGAGGAAGTGATACAACCCTCCTGTCCCCAGCAATCTTTCATATTCACTGGCCTTCCTGCCTGCTATACCTCCAACCCTCAGCCTACCAGTGGCCATGGTCCCCATCCTGACTCAACTACAAGCCGTTAGTCTGAGGCCCTTAATACTCCTTTGGTTTTCACCCCTTTTACAGAAGATGCCATTGAGATCACTCCCCTAGGTCTCAAGACTACCCTTGAACTCCCAGGAAGGAACAGCTGTGGGGATCATAGTGGGATAAAACGCCATCCTAGCAAGTGAGCCCCTCAGGTGCCCTGGGGGCTCGGGCTAGCTCGGGCTAACTCCGGCTCCAGTTCCACACATCCCCTGAGGAAAGGAAAGTCAGGTAAGAGAGTGTGAGGACTAAGATCCCCCATGCTATTCTCCTGGAACAAGAGAGGAGTGAGAGAGAGCTAGACCCAAAGATTTTCCTCCTGGCCAGGGAGCAAGGGAAGACGCTTCAGACTAAACCTCCCTCCCCCACCTAGCAGGCTGGGCAGAAGCACAGCTGCGGGCAGGGATGGAGGCAGAAAGATCGTGGTGAAGGATGGGGGAGCCAGCTGGGGATGGGGAGATGTGCAGGAGACAGGTGTAGATGAGGCAAGGAGGATCTCTTGACAAGCAGACCCCTGCCCCAACTGTTTGGCCATACTCAGCCCTGCCTCGGTGGGACAAAACAGGAAGGCGCCAGGATCACCCCCCACCCCACCCCAGGCAGTGCCAGCTTGAACTGAGGACATGTAAAACTGAGCAGTCCTGAGAACAAGGGAAAGGAGTGAGAGGGCCCAAAAGCAGTCCTGGAGAGAAGGGAGGGAAAGGTAGAATTGGGCAACTGCAGAGGGCAGAGAGGGAGCTGCCAAAACATTATATATTTACAGAAGGCTGCCTGCTCAGTGGCAGGATGTTCCCTGGTTCCTGTCCCTTCACATGCCTCGAGTCTGAAATGGGGAAGAGTGTAGGGCTGTGATGAGGATAAATGGCCAATGTGTGCAAAGCTCTTCAGAGAGCCTGGTGCATAATCAGCGTTCGATATACAACTGCTGTTGGTCTCATCATTATGGGCTAATGTTCATCACCCTTCAGTCACTGGTGTGTGTCTGTGTCAGTGTGACCATTTCTGGGGCCTCAAACTCATTCTTGATTTAACTAACAAAAGGCTGTTGTCCCTTATAAAGTCAACAATTAGCCAAATCAGTGAACATCAACACATTGTCTCACTCTGTGAACCTTGTTTGAAGAACACCATTTGAATAGACTGACCATCCCCAAACACCTACTGAAGACAGCAGTGAATTAAATGGAGAATCATTCAGCTGGAACTGATGATTTGCTGGTGGGATGGGGTAGGGCAGAGCCAGTCTGACAGCAGTGGGATCAAATACACACACACTTTCCCTCACCCTCATGTTTTGGCCTCTTCAGATGCCCTCACATGACTACTGGAAAAACCATAGCTTTGGCTATACGAATTTTTGTTGGCAAAGTAATGTCTCTGCTTTTTAGTATGCTGTCTAGGTTTGTCATAGCTTTTCTTCCAAGGAGCAAGCATCTTTTCACTTCATGGCTGCAGTCACCATCCACAGTGATTTTGGAGCCCAAGAAAATAAAGGCTGTCACTGCTTCCACTTTTTCCCCATCTATTTGCCATGAAGTGACGGGCCTGGATGCCATCATCTTAGTCTTCTGAATGTTGAGTTTTAAGCCAGCTCTTTCACATTCCTCTTTCAGGTTCAAAGAGGAACTAGAGAAGAGAAGCCCTAGGGCCAAAGGTTAACTGTACCTAGGTTAGAAAGTTCCTAGAGAAGATACAGAGAGATTCCTTTATCCCCCAACTACTTGGCATTACTCCCCTCAGAAGGTACTGGCGTGAACAAAAAACCCTTTGGCCTTTCCTCCAGGAGGCCTGGAGCCCTCCGAGGTTTATCCAGGAGGAACAGCCAGGAAGAGACTGGCTTCCTGCAGCCATCATTGAGGAGGCGGAAGGAGGGTGGGGCCACCAGCCGGCCGGGTTGCCTCTGATACTGTCCAGACTCATTAAACCTGCCTGGCCAGCACTGTCACCAAGGCTGACAGACGGCCAGCCAGCCTCCTTCCCTTGAGGCCACAGAGCCTGCCCTCAGCTCCACAGCAGATCCTGCCACTGCTGCTCACTGGGCTGGATGGGAAAGGCAGGCTTCCCACCCACATGCCCTGGAGTGCTGGGACTGCTAGGGAGTGAGCAACAGTCAGGTGGTCAACAGTCAGTTGCTGTGTTAAGTCTAGAGCTGGAAGAAGCTTGGGGACCAGTGGTTTCCTTTGCTGCACCAGTTCCTGGTGTGGCGGGGGCGGGGGGGGCGGCGCGGCAACCAGTCACAGTTGGCCCTTTGCCTGGCTCCCTTGGCTTCACCTACCAGAACCCCTCCCCAAGGAGCGTGTCCTCTGCCTTTTACAGTATGTGTTGTCCCATCACATTTTGGGGCCACAGTTGCAGTGTCTGAGAAGAATACCTAGAAGTGTATTTGGAACACGATGTGGGGGAAACCACGTTAACAGGTACTATTTAATGAGCTAATATTTCATGACCAGCCTCATGCCCGAAATTTACATTACATGGAAGCTTTACAATAGCAAAATAGGCACTATTACTAAACCCTAGATATATGAGAAAATTAAGGCTCAAAGAATTTAAATAGCCTGTCCAGCCATCATTGAGGAGCGGGAAAGAGGGTGCGGTGACTAGCCAGTTAGGAAGCAGACTGGGATTCAAAGCCAGGTCTCAAGATCCCACAGCCCCTGGTCTTTCATCTGCACCACCAGCTTGTCTCTACACATGTTCTGAAAGGTTCCTTTGACAAGGATGGCATCTGTCTGCTCAGGGTCTTCTCTTCAATGTCTTCCCAATGAGGGGCCCTGCTCTGCCCACATGTGACAGCATGTCATGTCAGATCAGACAGCAAAGGAGAGAGCCCCAAGCTCAGAGTGGGAGGGTGGGAGGCAGGCCAGGCAGACTGAAGTGGAGGGCAGGGTTAGTACTGAGGCTGTGGAAATTATGAAGGAGTTCCTGAGTCTGTTTGCCCTGATACATTTGTCTACATCCTGCTCTGCCTATGATTACAAAACTCCCAGAGGACTGCTATTTAACTCTGTGGGACCATCCTCAGCAACACTTGCTCTCAGACCATTTATGTACATCTCCATGGTGATAATGAAGAGAATGGTGATCATGATGACAGTCAAATACAAGGATCCCAGAATGTCAATGCATGGCCAGCACGTAGTATGTGCTCAATAAATAATCATCAAGTTCAAGTGAATTGGACACTTACCTAATGATGCTGTTGCAATTAACGCAGAGCTTAGAGAAGCAGCTGGGTCCAGTGGCCTTGGACTTGGGAGCTTTCTTTCCTGGGGGGATGGGGGCGGGGACAGAGTGGTGCCAAAGAATCCTGCAAAGGGAGCACATAGGGCTAGAGTGCCAGCCAGGCATTGGCCTCTGGAACTTTGGAGAAAATCAAGTCCTTTCTCAGAGCTTGACCAAAAGGGGACACTGTCCCAGGAATTGTAGCCACATGTATGCGTGTGTGTGTGCTAAGTGGCTTCAGTTGTGTCTGACTCTTTGCAACCCTAGGGACTGTAGCCCGCCAGGCTCCTCCAGGCAAGAATACCTGAGTGGGTTGCCATTTCTTTCCCCAGGGGGTCTTCCCCACCCAGGGTTACCCCGTCTCTTACATCTCCTGCATTGGCAGCAGGGTTCTTTACCACCAGCGCCACCTAGAAAGCCCAGCCACGTGTATGTGCTGTGCTGTGCTTCACCGCTCAGTGACTCTTTGCGACCCCATGGACTGTAGCCCACCAGGCTCCTCTGTTCACGGGGACTCTCCAGGCAAGAATACTGGAATGGGTTGCCATGCCCTCCTCCAGGGGATTTTCCCAACCTAGGGATCGAACCCAGGTCTCTGACATTGCAGGCGGATTCTTTACCATCTGAGCCACCAGGGAAACTCAAGAATACTGGAGTGGGTAGCCAATCCCTTCTCCAGGGGGATCTTCCCAACCCAGGAATCAAACCAGCATCTCCTGCATTGTAGGTAGATTCTTTACCAGCTGAGCTACTAGGGAAGCCCAGCCACGTGTATACCAGAAGCTAAACTACAAGGGCCAAACCAGACTTTGTATGACAAAAGGGCATTTCCCCATGGGAGCAGTGGCTGTATCCCAGGGCCTGGGAGAAGGAATGCAAGCTCCCCTTAAGTCAGAGAAATAAGGAGGCACTGCCATTTAGAGATGTTCTATAAACGTTTGTTGCAGTGAAATAGACACTCACCTGGAGAATCTGAAACTCCAGAGGCAGAGCCTGGGGATGTAATTGGGCCTGGGGGACTCGGGCCTGATAAGTTCCGGAGCGGGGACACTGTAGTGCCAAAGAACCCTGCAAAAGGAGCCCCATGCTGAAGCTTCCTCCTACCTGCCGGATGGCCCAGCAGCGGCTCTCCTTGGGAGGGGGTGGGTACTCACCAAAGGGTCCCAGGCGCCCAGCAATCTCTGCCAGGCTGGCCCGCAGGCTGGGCAGCAGGGGCAGCATTCGATGCCCGAGCGTGGGGGCCGCGCCTGCTCTCAACGCCACGTTGAACTTCAGCTCCAGCTCGCTCTGGCGGAGCCTGGGCGCACTGGATGGAGTTGCCGTGGCTGTCAGAGCAGTGTCCCAGGTCACAGTGCCCATCCCGGGCCGATAGGGCACAGTGGGCCCATCAGCAGGCCCCGAGAGGAGGGACGCGGACTCCAGAGCCGGGGAGGAGGCCCGCGGAGTAGAGCTGCCTTCTGCAGAGCCCCACTCTGGCGGGGAGTTTCCGAGAGAGCCCATCAGCAGTTCCCAAAGCGGGTCAGTCCTCAGCCCATCGGCTGCCTCTGCCCTGGGCTCCCGGCTCGGCCTGGGAGAAAGTGCCTGGGTCTCCGTGATAGGGTTCCCCCAGACAGCAGCTGGTCCCCGAAGGTGGAATTTGAAGTTAAGTCCCAGGTTGAGAGACAGCATAGAGGCCTCACTCTGGGGTGGGGGGGTCAAAGTGGTGAGAGGGGCCCCTGGGACAGAGGAGGCAGGCTGGGGGCCCGCAGGAACAGCAAGCAGGACCCAGCAGAACAGCCCCAGCCCCAGATAGCCGTACCCTGCCATGACCTGGTGGGGCCGCGAGCTTGGGTCTTCCACACCTTTGAGCACGAAGGTCCTGGAGAGAGGAGAGGTGCTATGAGCCCTGGCGGGTTGGAATCTGATGACCCCAAGAGAGGCTGCGGATCCAGGAGAAGCAGGTGGTGGGGGCAAGACACAAAGGCTTCTGCCCGAGGAGAGTGGCCAGCTTCTTGCTGAACATTCAGGCCCCAGCACCAGTCTCTCCCCTGCAGTTCCCCTTCCGTTCCAGCCAAGGCTCCTTCTCCCTAAGTACCCACCCCCCACCCCCACCTGCTCGGTCTGAGGCCTGGGGTCTGACTGCATCCAGCTGCCCTCACCCTTGACTGATAGCAGAACACGTGGACTTGACTCCTAGACTCTGATCCCCTCCCTTCCTTTCTTCCCTTCTTCCTCCTTTTGCCCTAGAGTGTCTGCTGGGGCCTACTACGTGCCGAGCACCCTTCTGGTAACAGAACTGTGAACAAGCTCCCCTCACAGATGAGTGTCCCCCTACTCCCACCCCTGCTCCAGCCTCACTCTCACTCAGACCCAGGGAGGCCTGGAGGGATAAAGCACAGTGTGAGGATGGCAGAGGTGGAGAAGGCGGCTCTGGCCAGGGAAGCAGGGGCCGGGGCTGGCAGAAGCTCTGCCCCTTCAGCCTTTTCCCTCTTGCCTGGGGCTTGGCGTGCTCGCCATCCCTTAACCCTAGAAGTACTGGCGGGAGGGACAGCCTGGCCATCTCTGGCTTCCTGGAGGGAAGATGGCCAGGCAGGCAAGCTGGACCAAGGGCTGGCGGCAGTAGACGCCTGACTCACCCCAGGCACACACAGCTGGAAGGGGAAGGGGAGGGGAAGCCAGGGGGCACACACGTGTATCCACCACTGTTACATCACACACACGGCCACACCTAGCACCCTGACCCACACTCACCTACTCACCCTTCACACATCCCTGCGCCTAAGTGCACACACACACAAACGCACACACATTCAGTCCTGCCAAGCCCCCTCCCTCCTACATGGGTTCAAATCCAAGCTCTGTGAGCTTCCAGCCTGCTCTGTCTCTCTCTCTGTCTCACACACACATACACACACACCCTACCTCACAGACACACAGTATACACAGGCACAGAGGCACACACACCCCTACACACACATTCGCACACTCAGAATACACATACACATCATACACCATCACTCCCCTCCACAAGCACATTCCTACACACCCACCCTACAGACAGGCACAAGCGCGCACACACGTACACGCGCGCGCGCGAACACACACACACACACCTCCCTCTCCCCGTGCCCAGACGGCAGACCTGCTCCTCTCCCGCAGGCGGATCTCCTCGGCCAAGTCCCCCGAAAAGGGGCGGTCGCGGCGACCCAGGCGCCCGGCTGGGCGACGCTCCACCGAGTCTGGCCGGTGCTCCCAGCGCCCGACGCCCCCTCGGCTCGTCCCGGTCACGGCGGCTTCTCCGACGCGCGGCCCCCGCTCTGGCGCGGCCCGACCCCAGCCCGCAGCGCTGGCCCCAGGCGGGCAGCCCGGCCCGGCTCGGGCTCCGCGCTCCCACCCGCCGCGCCGCCTCCTGGCTGCGAGCCTCGCTCCCCGGCAGAGCCGCCCGCGCCGGGCTCCGCGGCAGCCGCGCTCTGCCCGCCCTCCCCGCCTCCTGCGCTCCCGCCCCGCGCGCCCGCCCTCTCCCCTCCTCCTTCCCCGGCCCGCGGCCCGCGGTCCGCCCCCCACCCGGCCGGCAGGCGGGCGCGCACCGCAGCCCCGAGCCGCCGCTGCCACCGCCTCTGTGCCTGCGTCCCCACGCGCGCTCACTCACTCAGCGCTGCCCGCCGGCCGGGGCGGGCGCCGGTGCCGCGCTCTCAGCCTGGTGCCGGCAGCCGCACGCTCCCAGGGCAGCCCATCACACACAACCACTCGCATGCCCTCCCCGGGAAACACCGCGGGCCAGAGCACCGCGTGCACACTCATGTGCACACACGCGTGCGCGCGCGCACACACGGCAGCCTGCCCATGGTGGCACCCGGGCAAGAAGAACCACTATGTTTATTAAGCCGTGAGTGGAAAGTGTAATAAGCACGTCCACACCCCTTGTTTCATTAGTTCCTGACAACAACTCTGTGGGTGTACCCATTTCACAGATAGGTAAATTAAGGCTTGGGGGAAAAAATAACTCAGGAATTTGTTCAAGATGACACAGCTTGGCAACCTGAACTCAGTCTCTCTGCTGTCTTCTCCATCACCTGGTGGCTTTCAACAGTTGAAAGTGCCTCCAACATTTCATAGGTGAACAGCCAAGGTTCAATCCGTGTGTAACATTTCTTTTTGCTAAGACTGAGTTCTCAGGAAAAAAAAAAAACTTAAAGAGTTTCAGAAATGTCTCTTACCTTGTGAGACGTGGTTTACAACTTGTTTCTAATAAGGGGCAAGAGGAGAACAGTGAAGTCAAAGAGTGTTAGCCCAGGAATATAAGAACACCCAAGCCAGTGTGGAAGATTATTCAAGAGCAGGGCAGTTACTGTGGACACTTCAGGGACCCTGTGGTTCTGTCACAGTGACTGATTTAAGTAGTACTGGCTGGTTTCTGTAGACTTGAATCTCTAAGTCCCCAAAATGTTCCTATTTGAAAATATCAGGAGAACATAAAACACAGTGGGGTCTCTGCACCATATAAAGCTGTCCTGGGAAAACCCAGACATCCTACTGTGTGCCAAGCACCATGCTGGGTGCTTAGGCATCTCCTCACTTAGTCCTCATCACAAGCCACATAGAGAGAAAATGTGTCACCAGATTACAGCCTTGGATGTTACCCTGATCCCCCTAACTTGCTGCTCTGTAAGGTTGAGGAGTGGATGCTTAAAGAGTTACCTAGGGCAGGTCTGTCTCAGGTACGGCCAGCATAGCACTTAGCCCAGGGGCATGCTCACCGTGTATTAGCAAAGTGAATAACAAATGAATGTACGATTCTGGGACCCAAATAGGCAATGGGTAGCATTTCAGAAAAGTATCCAGGGCTCACTTTCTTATCACAGAATCCCCCCAATTGATGTAAGATAAAATCAGGCCACTGACTGAACACCCCCCATCCTTCCCAGGCACATCACTGATGAAGTCTGGGAATTATTCTGAGTCTCTAAACAAAACATTGCCAAGGGCATTCCCTGGATGCACCCTCAGGGATTGCTATAGGGTCCTTCCTCTAGTAGGGAAACTCCCCCTGCCCTTTGTCATTTAGGGGCTGCCTGGAGACTACATACTGAGATCCAGCCTCTGGGCTTCTCTCATATACTTAATAAAAGTTATCCCACTAGAGACGTTTTCCTTTAATTCTCCTCATAGAAAGGCTCATTTCCTGCTAATCATGTTCACAGAAAGACTTCTAAATGGAAAGACAGAAATAAACATATCCTGGTACATTAAAATAACAGCCCTTCATGACCAAGGAAGGTGATTCCCAGGAATTATATTTTTAAAAACATATTGAAAAGGGAAGTTAGGGTTCTGGGTTAAGATGGTAATTGAATGTGTACATCTACTTTCACTCCTTCCCAAAACCCCACTAAAACTTCAATAAAGAGGTTTTTTAAATCAAGAGGTAAACCCACAAGGATAGAGAGAACATGGGAAAAGACAACAGCCACAGAATTTTTGAAGCAGAATGGTGGACCAGTACTGACTTATCAGCGCCAAGGAAAGAGTCATGTCAGCTGTCACGGCGCAGGGTGGGGGGAACTGAGAACTAACTAGATCGGCATTGCAAGATTCTCAGAGGCATAGAGAACCTTTCCGTGGTACCTATGGATTCCCAGAGGTGAAAGGTGGAAGAGGTTGCTAAGATAAGGACCAGGATGGGCAGTTAGATCCCTCCATCTCTCCCCCAGCCCCAAACTCCTGGGCAATAGCCCCTCTCATATCCCAGCCAGAGTCTGGGGAGTTTTCTTCTGAAGATAAGATAGAGGGTGTCTGGGATGGAGCACAGTTGTGAATGGAGATACCACACTGAAAAATACTGAAATCCAAAGGATCAGTTGACCTTGCCACATGGAATGGTGAAATGCAGAGATGCTGAGCTTTCTGCCACCATCAGGCTCTCCAAGTGCTGGGAGTAGGACCTAGACAGGAGACTGGATGGCACTACTCTGGGGTATTTCACCAGTCCAAGAGGAAAGACCTAAAGTTACTGACATAAGAAACAGCCCAGCTAGCCCACGCTGCAGTGGCAAACCCAGCTTCTCTCTGAGCTCAGAGTTTCTGACTAGCCTCCCTCCCATCCCCACAATCTTAATCATAGCCAAAGATTGCCAGACATCTAGGGAATTTTCAAATGCAGAAGACAGTAACAAAACAATCAGAAAAAGTAACTTCGAGGAAACAGATTACCCAGAGAGAAGAGAGGGTCAAAAAGACCACAGTATCCTTAGAGAGATAAGATCTGCATCATGAAACAAGAACAAGGTGCTATACAAAGAAACATCCAGAGAATAGCAAAAGCAACAATTATGTCTTGAGAAATAAAATCATTACAACAGAAACAAAAACATCAATAGAAAGACAGGCAGGTAAAGCTGGTTGAATCTCCCTGGAAAGTAAAACAAACATACAAAGAGATAGAAAATGTGGGAATGTAGGAAAGGAAAGATGAGAGCATTTTAAAAATTGGAATATAGTTTATTTACAATGTGTTATTATAGTTTCAGGTGAATAGCAAAGTGAATCAGTTATACATATACATATGTCTATTCTTTTTAAGATTATTTTCCCAAATATGCCATTACAGAGGGTTGAGTAGAGTTCCCTGTGCTATACAATACATTCTTATTGAAAAGAACTTTAAAGGACACTTTCAGGATAATAGAAATAATCTAAATAGAAATAATATAAATTCTAAAAAGAGACAAATGAAAGGGAGGAAATCATCAATGAACTAATTGGAGGAAATTTTCCAGAACAGAAGGATATGAGTTACTGGATTATAAGGGTTGGTTGGATGAAAATAA